CTGGCAGATCTGATTAGAGACATCAGCGTTCTATTACAAGTTGGCTTCTGCAGATTCTTATGTATCGTATTGAGTACTTGCTGCAATGTGCGGAAACGCTGAGAACGAGCTGTGCAATTTCCACCATAACCACGAAGACCGCGACAATCACGATGACACATGGTCTGGGAATCCTACCGGTCATGGTCGTGGAATATATACTACAGCGACGAGCGAGGCAACTCGCACACCGAGTCTGTGGCGCACCACGTCCGCTACACTCAAAGTTCAGGTTCTGGCTATACACCTACTGGGGACATATTCTGAAGTCCAGGATATCGATCCTGTGTGTCCTCCAGACAGGTTCGCTGGAACTTACAAAGAATTCTGGGGCCATAGCTTCAATGGTGGAACGTGCGGTCATGATCAGCATACATATTGACGCGCACGCACACCGCACCATTGGCCCTAAGCGTAATACTGCCAACGAATGCTGACTTTGAGTGGATCGAGTCAGGGACGGTAACACCCAGTCAAGATGGTGTCACTCACAGTGCAATCGAACTCTTCAGTCAAGAGAGACGAACTCTTCCCTCGGGCTCTGTACGCACGAGGATTGACTGAAGAACGACAGTATGACGATGGTCACACTAAGGGATGGACAGTTGTACATCTTCCTTCTTCCTCAGGTGCCGAGCAAGCGCAGTTTTAAAAGTTGGGTAGTTGCAGCGCTTGATCCGGCACAATATATCCCGCTACTTTGCAGGTGACAAGACCGACGTCCAGAAGCCAGGCTTCCCAGGCGCCAGGAGGCTATGGAGCTTCGGCCAACAAGTGTTGACTAGCCTTCGTGATGCTATGACTTGTCATTCATGAGCAGTGATTTCGGCGACCAACGGTCATGGCATACGGAATGTACACTGATGTTATATGCATTCAGAGGTGCATCAACTTTCTGTCATGTTCTTGACGCGTGGAAGCCATAGTGCTATTTCAGGGACTTCAGCCATGTGTGTTGACGAGAACTTCTACGATGATTTGGTGGTGAAGGTTCCGATGTACTATCCATGAGCACAGTGGCCACCAACACTGAAGTTAATGCCAGTCACGGGACAACGTCGCCACCGACGGGCCACCTCCACCATCTGTTTGGACCTTACATTGCCGTTCGGACATGGAATGTCTTCGCTTGTCTTACAACGCGCCCATGTTCACAGCGCTCACGAAAGAGAGATGTCAGTGCTATAAACACCGTTCGACCACGCATCACGTGCGGTACCGTGACAATCCTCTGATGTGCTATCCGACGTCAATGACTCCATCATGCGTTATCTCCTCACCAGGATGAGGATCCACACCATGACCTTCAAGTCGGGATCACAGGCCGACGCGTCGCCGAATACGCAGGCCCACCTGCCAACTCCCCCATGCTGGCACACGCCAGGTGGAACGGCGGCCCATGGGGGTAAGGAGGCCATGTGCACGCGAGCCTACCTGTCAACTCCTCATGCTGGCACACGCCAGGTGGAACTGCGGTCCACGAGGTAAGGGGGCTACCCAAGCATCAACACTCACAACGACGTGCTTCGGATGCTTGTTCAACACCGCTGACATATTGTTTCATCCTCAAAACGTCTGGCATGGCCTCACACCACGACAGACGACGCAGCGTCCAGTGACGGCTAGTGTAGAAAAAAGGGCCGGGGCGTGCGCGTCCACGGATGATTTGATATTTCTGTGCTATCGACAGGAGAGCGTGTCGTAGCTACCGTGCGGTAGTCGATTTATTGTTCGTACAAGACTTGGGCGGCTTGTTTCGTTTCTCGAACCACATGCATTGCAGGTGAGCGCCAAGTCATAGATTCTGGCATGCTTTATTTCGCAGCACGGGACCGCCTCTCGAGGAAATTCCTCCCCGAGGCGGATGCAGACACATCCGCAGAGGCCATTGCGGAATGCGATGGACCATGCAGTACGAACCTGAATTGCTGATACTGGACAACATTGTCCTGCAGCCCCGAACGCGGGCGGCCTCTTAAAGGTGATTGTGACGGGCGAGCATGGAAGATACTTTGTCTCTGACGTGCGGCAAATACACGCTTGCACTCACACGAGCACATTGGATCACAATGTGTGGCGGCTTTACACAGTAACATACGACCTCGCATGGAACCATTTGATTAGGTTCAGGCGCAGCCACTACGTCAAGAACACCCATGCCCGAACACCGTGTCGATGACCACCGCGACAAAGGAAATGCCGGACATGCAACCGCCCTAACTGGCGGTTACTATTTTTACGACATGACCTTCGAGCTTAAGTTCAAGGCCTAGAGACACTTTTGACCACGACTTCCAAGAAGTTCGTCTCTCTCCCTCCCCGATTCGGCTTTGTACTTCAGCTCGGCGACCCAGGCCCCAGCGAGGCAACTCGCCGCGCCGGCGCCAGCGTGGCGACGCGCCCCAGGCCCCAGCGAGGCAACTCGCCACAACGCATGCGACTGGCGACGCCCGGCTGGCAGGCTGGCACAACCGCGGCCGCATTGCGAAGCAATCGTGCGCAGCTGCAGCCGCAACTGATGCGGGATCACGTGGGCGTGCACAGGGTACACAGCGAAATTAGTGGCCAGTGGTTCCTCCAGCACGTTGCGCCCTACGCGCCAAACCTAATGGAACTTGGCGTCCTTGTTGGAGCTCGACCGCAACGGCTTGGAGCAGATGTGGCCAAGCAGCAGACGCAGCGCAAATAGCGATGCGCAGGCACGCTACACCGACTTGATTCCGTCATGCTCGTCGCCTTCGGCACTTCCTTCGGCGCCTTTTGGACTGCTGAGACGCAGCAGCCCCATTGTGCGAATGAGGTCGACTGAGGTGTTCCCTTCCAAGGCTTATGCGTTGAAGTGCGCACACTCCAGGACGCGCATCGACTGCCAAGTGCACCACGACGCAGTACGCCAGGAACGAGGCGCACAATATCGTGCTGCCCAGCACCTATATGTCGGCATTGGACGGCTGTGTTATCAAGAACGGACCACCCCTTCGTCCCGTCCGACACACAGGCGCGGCACAATGATGTGTTTTACCGAGAATATCGTGATGCATGACATGAACGCGTTGCAAGCAGATCCATGCATATCCTACAACCACCTGGTGCGCTAACCGCGCAGAAATGTACGACTTGTTACATGTATGTAATCACGATTGTTTTCCTCGTTGACACCGCCATGGCTTCTACGCCATATTTGTGCCAGGTGCTGATGGGCGCGACTGCGCCTACCACCTCACCGACGGTGCAAGACGAATACGCACTGGCATCAGCATCGTGCGACGAGCGAGGCAACTCGCACGCTGAGCCTGGCAACGGGCCCGACGGGGAATGCGATGCCTATGCGTTGCCTCCGCACTTTTGTGAAAATGATGACAGCTACACGGTGCACAGCGATGGCCATGACTTACATGGAGGAAGGGGAGGACGATGACGAGGACGACGTTCCTTCCCCTCCCTTCCAATATTAGGCACCGGGCGCTGCTCTGAAGCAGGTCTGGGACACATCGCTCCCAGCACCAGGCGACTGGCCATCGACGGCAGCGCATTCGAGGTGCACTCCCAGCGCCAGGCGATTGGCCATCGACCGCAGCGCGTTCGAGACGGTTGCCAACATGCGGCGACACGTACTCGGGCAGAACAAACACCGACCTAAAAAACGAGCGCACTTCGCAACAACAGGCTGTGAGACAGCATGGGTCGAGTACTTGTGAAGGCATGATGGGGGAGGGACTACGTCACAACATCGACTCACTGTTGACAGTCGAAGAGTACCATACATGACGTGTCACATTTCCTTGATAAAGGTGCAGGTATCTGCGTCGAATGACTCTTTGACTACATTCGTTTCCTTGGGGTTCCTGCGTGCGCCTGATTTACGGAGACGAAAGCCGACGCACGCAATGACGCTTCTTACCCCATCTAGCAACACTGTCTTGGCTTTGTGCTGCACGGGAAGTAGCATCACGTGCAATGAAAAAGGTTTCTACATTATCACGGATGATGCACTCCACTCTTACACGGTTTTGGTCATGGTGCGGCACGACATGTGCAATGGCAGCGGCGGCCAGCACTCTGTGTACTTCGACCATTGCAGTTCTATGGGCTGACTCCCGATCGTGCGCTCCAGCAGCGACGGGCACTTTCGAATCCAAGAGTTCTCTTGTGGCTCGATGCGGACCGCCAGTCCTACGTGGGCCTCATTGCCATCATCATCACATGCCACATACGGCCCTCGCAGTATTGCCCACGCCACCATGATTTCAGCGCGGATGAGCATGTACCGTCAGAAGAGAGCTTTCAACGTTACGAACACGATTCCTTCTGCCATCGACTCGATCGTGCTCCACGAGCCTATCGTGCGAACCCTTATGCTCACGCGTGTTGACACTCGGGCTTCAAGCAAAGACCCGCGGTGGCTTGTAAAGAAGCAACGTGATGTCTTTCAACGAATACAATATGGACACATGCATGAAACTATGTACATAAGGGATCTTACTACACGCTTTTGACACCACGGACGAGAGCCCCATGCACTTTGCCCTCCTCGGGCTTACATTCGAAAGTGCCATCGTTCAGCTACTCCGCGATGATACAGTTCTGCAAATGCTGGCAGATGGCCCCATTCGCCCTTGGACACAGTACGACCCGGTGCTCGACTATGTGCTTCTTTGCTAAACATTTGGGACCATGTCACATCGACGTGCTGACCTAGCTGAGCTCAGGAACCGGCTCAACGACAGCACCGGCCAGCAACTTCCGAACGGTGGTCACAACCATTTGAGTCATCGGAAACAGTGCTTGGGGAGAGCTTCGCCGCCTTCCACACTTGCGTCAGGCACTTTGCACAATCTGGTGAAGGTATATATAACGACTCTATGTACAAATGTATGAAGGACGAGTGTGAAGGGGCTGAACCAGTTTCACGTTCCCCCTCCGTTTTTTTATCTCACATGGAGATTTTATCTTTGCGTGCCATGAGAGCACTCTTGGAAGGCGTCTTCGGCGTGAAGACGAAACTTATGTTTGTTGCTCCTACCTGCGAATGCCGACCAAAAGCTCGGCATGAAGGAGATGTGCGTCATGAGCGGCACCCACATGATCAACGATCTTTTGCTGGGCGTGATCGGCCAGGCACACCAGCTCATCGTTCCGTATGTGGACGAGCCCTGCCACGCTAGTCTACGCGGATGGACACGGCTTGCATCGGCTGCTCACTCGGCCGATATGACAATCACATACGCATGGACATATTCGTTATATTTGTGCAGGTGTGCTAGGAACAGACAGACGAGCAACAACATAAGTATTGGCCATGTTCTTAGATTGCGCGCGGATTTACGGCATGTGCACCTACGACAACTAGGATTCCATTACTGGGTTTTTGTTGGGTTCCTCGGACTACGTCACAGATGTCGAAAATCCAGTTGCAGTCTCTTGGGATTTATGGCGCGCACACCACACGGTCGAAAGATCCTACTGCATTCTGTCTTGGTGCATCCCGGCAGTCAACACATGGCAATACGGTGTGTGGCGTCTGGGTACAGGTAGCCTGGCAACAGGCCTTTCGATACCCAGAATCATTTTCCAGGCGTAGCATACCCTTCACGTACAACACGCTTCGGTCTACATTGGGCAGTGGGGGAGTTCGAGTTCCTCTGCTAGACCAGTTCTGCGCGGGACCCCGAGACAGGGCCGCGCCAGTGAGAGGCGCTCGGAAACGAGCCCGCACGACACAGGCAGACAGGCCACAAAGCTGGCCTGCTCCCGCGCACGCCGAGGGAACACGCTCAACAGTGCGTGCCTCTTACGCCTTGCACACGGTCGCCTGCTGCGGTCGTCAAGACCCCTTTAGGCGCACTCCTGCTGCGGGCAGCCCGCCTCCATAAGAGGACACACCCGGCAGGCTTGGCAGCAAGCCTCGTTTTGTCGCGGGTGGCGGGGACTGGTGTCTTCGCCGTCCGTAGAGATTCGTCAGTCTCTAATACCTCCCGGCTCTTCAACCGGGACCGCGACCGAGTGGCTGTGACGAAAAACCCCGCTTTTGCGTGCTCCTAGCACTAGCAGAGCGCGGTGGAGCCGTGTTCAAGCACGCTCAACGATGCGTGCCTCTCGCGTCGATGGTTTGGTCGGCGCCCTGCGTGCTGTGCTCAGACTTTGAGCTAACCTTTTTAAGTGGGTTACCTGTGTCCGGCTACCACGAAGTGGTCGCTGGATACAGGTAGCCAGCCGCCACTCACAAGGCGGCTCACGCCTGTTTCACTACAGGGCGCGGGCGTGCACGCGCGGCAGGGCGCCCGGTAGCGTTCCGGGCGCGGCCGCCTGCTTCCGGAGGCCCCCGGCGCCCCTCGGAGCACGGCGGCTTGTAAACGTACGCAAACGCTCGTAAACGAGCGCAAGCCTCGCTGCTTAGCAAGCTGCTTCGTTCGAGTGCAAAGCCGCCCCGAGCTCCGGGCAGGACGGCCGGCTGCGGGCGAACCGCGGCGGGCCTCGGCGGGCTAGAAGCCACCGCCCGCTTCTTGTTATCATAGCAGTGCGGCTCAGTACTGGGCGCTCCGTGCGACAGAGCAACGGGGCAGCGTTACGTTTCGTCTTCCCCCCTCCCGATTTTAAGGGTAGGTATTTGTGCAGGCGGGGATAAGGCGAGCTTATAGCGAACGTATCCGCTGCCGTTTTTGGCTCCAGGCACCAGCGCCCCATTTGCCCACAGACAAGCTACGGCGAAGTCTGTGCTATTTGCGTAGGTAAAAGGATCGTGTCCTGATCAGACCACCTTTCCTGCATCCCTTACTCCTACTTCCCATTTGCACCATTACTTGCCAGCAATGGTATCTCTTGCTCATCAACCCTGCGGACTCCACTTTCGACTCGCCAGGCATCGCTTTGATAAGTTAACAGGGGGCGGTGGATCTAGTGGCCGTCGGCTCATCGCACCACTGAGCCTGCGTCGTTGACCGCAGACTTCTGAAACGCCTATTGAAGTCACTTGGGAGGTCTCCCAGGGTGGGGGCTTTTTGGAGGGGTCTCGGGGGTCTCTCAGGGCATCCTGGCGACCTCTTGGGGTCTGGGGGCGGTCCAGGGGGCCATCTTGGGGTGGAGGTGGTCCAGGGGGCCAAGCCTGGCAAGGGGCGCGCCGACGTGGCGAGGCAAGTGAAGCACATGGAGAGCCTAGACTCACTTGTTCATACAACGGATAAACACAATCAGGCAAACTTAGCGCGTACAGCATAGCTGAACGGCAGGGGGGACCGGCGCGATCGACTGCTGTTTGTTGACCAGGAGCAGTCAGCGAGGAGTGGGTCAACACAGCCCAACGTTCAACCAGACGCACGCAAAAAATTGAGCGAACGTGAAAGCATGGAGACGACGAGGATGAGGAGCACCGGGAGGCGGACGGCCCCTCATAGCTCTTTGGGCTCGGACATGTTTTGGCCGCCGCTCACCTCGGGAGTCGGGTGTCCCTTTGGAGCGTGGTCTCTCGACCCCCTGCCTCGGGGCCAGTTAGTTCTTGTTTGCGTTATCTTGCGCCGCTTCATGCGAGCCCTCCGGCGTTGGCTTCTCGGCTTGACCAGAGCAACTGCTCCCCGAACAGGTCTTGCACCGGGAGGTTCCTGCCTGCTCCTCTGAGTCGGATTGGCTGGCCGCGCGGGGATATGGTGGCGCCCGTGCCCGCGCGGCCCCGCCCGCGAAGTGGCTGGGGGCCTCGAGCGGAGGGGGCCGTTCACCGCCACGCGCGCTGGCTGTCTTCCCCAGCCATCCTTCGGAGTGGGTTTCCTCGTTTGGAAGGGACAGCGCCCCGCGTTCCTCCTCTCCTCTCCTCTCCTCTCCTCTCCTCTCCTCTCCTCTCCTCTCCTCTCCTCTCCTCTCCTCTCCTCTCCTCTCCTCTCCTCCTCCCCTCCTCCTCCCAGGTTGGGTCCTGCGCCAGGCTACTTTTTACACTGACGTCGTCATGCCCCCTTGGGAAGTAAAATTGCTGCTAGCCGCATGTCAGAATCGCGCAGGAAGGTTGGGGGCGCTGATAGGTAAATTCCAGCGCCAGCGCTCTCAGCTCGGCATGTGGAAGTCGGCGTTCAAATTGGGCCATTGCGCCTGTGTCCGTTCCATCGAGCCCAATCGCCATCTCATCGGTTTGGGCCACCCCCGAAGCGCTCCATGTGGCATCCTGCGCACTTGGCGCGCACTCGGGTATTGAATGGAGTAGATACTTCTGGCGCTCGCGCAGTTTCGCCTTGCCCGCCGATTCGGATCTCAACCTTTCTGAATAGCTCCTCTTCGTCGCGCGGGAGGAGGGAAGTCCGTTTCATTTTGCAGTTCTCGCCACAGGAACTCAGGTTTGGTTCAATCGTTGTCTTGAGTGCACGTAGAGAAGAGGAGGCATGGCCGCATCCAGGCGAGGAGGCGGGAGTCGGGAGAGGGGCGCCTGTCAAGAAGCTCTGGCGGGAGCGGATGCTCATGCTTCCAGTCGCGCGCGCTCGCCAGGGGGTCGCCAGTCCAGAAGCCACAGCGAGGGGGAAGGGAAGGGCGAGAAGAGGGGTAGCCATCCTCGAGTCTGACATCAGAGCCTTTTGGTGGCGCTGACCACTGGAGCTCTCGACCTTACTCCAACGGCCAGGTTTGCATCCCCGATCGTGGGTTTGATGTTGCAGGGCCGGAAACGGCGCCCTGGACGCCGACGATGACGAAGAAATTCTGCCTCGAAATTCGTATTTCGAGCCGCCAGAGGTTGGGGATGGGGAGACCATGTTCAGAGTCTTGGGAGGCTGACTAGTATACTCTGAGTGGCAATCCAGCGCAACCTGACCTAATCTAGCGCAATCTGAATTCATGGGGGAGCATCTTGTTCAATTTGGGTGAATCGACCCCGAATCTGACCAAGTAGCTTTTCATGGCGCCCGCGAAGACCTCCCAGGAATCCCTAAGGGAGCCTGGAGGGTGCGACTGACCAGAAGCCGTGGGGGGGGAATGGCATTTTGTTCCACCCTTGGTCGTGCACAAGTTCTCCTGCCTCTGGGGGGCGCTTGCTGAGGGGCTGCCTACCCAGAGAAGCCCCAGCGAGAGGGGCGAGGGCGAACGGAAGTAATTAGTATCGGGGAGGGCGTAATGTGTTCCAGCCAATTCTGTGCGAGCTCCAAACTGTACGAACGGACAAGTACGGATTCAAGCGTGAATGGAGGAAGTGGTGCAAGGGAGGGCTATAGTGAGAGAGGGAACATGAAGAATGGAACGCACGGTGCCTCGAGACGCGGCCGTCCAGGCTCGAGAACGAGGACGCAGTCAGTGACGCATTTGGGGCGTCCTTCAAGGCTGCCTCGCGCCGCGCGTCCCGATCCCAGCCGCACTGTTATGTGGTATTGCACGTTATAGGTCCGGGAGTTTGCTGTGCTGTCTTGTGGCACGTGCTGCCCTTTTCCATGTGTCACTACACGGTCCTACGTCAGTCTAGTGTCTACCACAGGCGTCGCGCTGCCTTGCAACATCTTTACTGAGTCCGCAAGAGCTATCCTTGAAGATGCATCTATCGAGTCACCGCCGCCCCTGCAGTACCAATGGGTCACAGTTTGACTAAGCTGCTGCGCTGCATACATCCTGCACGTCGGGGAAAGAAACGAACATTGGGGACAGTCGCGTGTTCAAAGGAGTTCCCATAGCCCCAACATCCAACAGCACGATCAGCGTATCATGGCAGATTTGCTGAGGCATAGCATTGTTCAGTGCAGAAAGACTCCGCTGGACAGTGCTCGAAAGCCCTGGCCTGATCGTATAGCATGGCCTAGCATAGCGGCTCCCTGCACTGAGTCCATGGTTGTACATTGTCCTTGCGAAGTGTTTCTAGATGTCTTAAGTCGACCTGCTACTTGTCTGCATGTTCAACAGAGAGCCAGAATTTGTCGTTTTGGGCTCGTTAGCGTTTGGTCGTCTGAGGCCGTTCACAAGGGATTGGCGGACTACCATGGGTGCTCGATTACGTTGTCCTCCGACGTCGTTCGCACAAGGGTCCTACCCTGGATGCTCTACCCTGTCCTCCCACCTCAGCGGGCAGGCGTGGACCCTGGCGAGGATTATGCAGAAGAGCTCCTCTGCGAGCGGCCTGCTCTCAAATGAAGGCGCGTTGGCAGCCCTCGCGCAGTCGACGCGTGCCCCCCTCGCTTCCTACTCCTGCCCCCATGCAGCATCCCAGCATGCACGCTGATGCGCGTTCGAAGTCTTTGGTCGGGTGTCCGATCCGTCTGACTTGTCAGAGACTTCCACCGAGGAGGTCTACAGTGGGGACCCATGCCAAGAAACACCCTCCTTGCCTCCAGCGTGACGTTCCCACACCACAGATCAGTGGACGCCCTGGGGTCTCAGGGTTAGGTTTCTTGTGGAAGGTTTCTTGTGGTCGGGCCTCCACTGTAATCGGTTGGCCTCTCCCGCAGGACGCTGTTGAGATCGAGGTTGACCCCGTCAAGTTCGTCACCCTGGAGCCGCCGCGCCTCCCCCCTTGTCACGCTGGCGGGCTGCACGTGAAGTTTCTTCTCTATCTAGCGAGGTTTTTTGTTCTCGCCTGCTCGGTTCCCATTCTCTGCTTCCACCTGGTTCTCCTTCCAACCCCCCGCCCTTCCCCTCCCGCCTCCAGCTTATGATGCAGTGTTTCTGGAGTCGGGAAGGCAGGCGGTGGAGGGGGAGGAGGAGGAGGAGGAGGAGGAGGAGGAGGAGGAGGAGGAGGACGAGGAGGAGGAGGAGGAGGAGGAGGAGGGCGGGAGCTGGAATGTGGGAAGGAGGGTGAGGATTTGCGAACTCCTTCCCGTTTCTCCCGCTACTCCGTCCGCCCGTGCCTCCTGCCTCTTCCACCCCTCTTTGCCTCTTCCTGCCTCGTTCCGCCCCTCTCCCTTTCCCCTCTTTTTGTCCCCTGATTATCCCGTCTCCCTGCTTGACATGTTCCTCCTCCTCCTCCTCCTGCTCGGGCTCATACGTCATATGCGAAGAATACATAAGCATAGCATAACCAGAGGGACATCACACTAGGGGGCACGCTGTATTATGATGAAAAGACGTCTACACATCAGTGTATACAAATGCACAGAGAGCAGCAGTTGGCGCATGCCGCCACCGTCCTCGGGTCATTGGGCAGAGGCCTCTTGGACTAATTGTTGGGTCTCATGGGATGCCTCTCGGAGGCCTCTCGAGGGGGGCTTCTTCGGGGCATATGGGAGGCCTCTTTGGGGGCCTCGTAGGCGCTTCTTGGGTACTCTTGGGGGCACCGTACATCGACAAGATGCTGCACCACTTTGCGCTGTTCTTCGCACGCATGCTTCAACCCTTCTCCCCCCTCCCCCCCAAATTTATTGTTGGAGGCATGCGAGAATGAGCTTCTCCGGATTCCCCAGGCGCCCGGCAGAGTGTTGCATAACCGAGTTGATTCGGCGACCCCGGTCTGTAGCCAATGTTAGAGTGGGGGGAGGTTGGATCAGCGCAGTTGGATCACCTCAAGCATGCGCCTTTTGAGGAAGCGGGCGCGCAGTCCGTAACATTGGCATCTTGTTTGTCTTGAGGAAAACATGCTAGAGTTGGGGGGCGGGGAGGAGCGAGCACGAAAATCGTCGACGTCTGATGTCGCGGGCAGCGGGCGGTGCAACATGTTGTCAGCGTATCGTGTGTCAAGGGTCTTCAGGAGGATCTCTCGGAGCGAGAGGCTCCCAAGGCCCAATGTGCTTCCCCCCTCGGGCGACGCTATGCGCGTCCGCTGGGGCCGTGCGCAGTTTATGATGGGCCCATGTTCCACCACCACTACCATATGTAGGAGAGAGAGAGAGAGAGAGAGAAAAACAAAAAAAAGGAGAAGGAGGAGGAGGGGGATCTCCTCATCCTCCCTTCTCCCCCGTCCTAAATCTGGTAGTGGTGGTGGAAAATTGCCCATCAGTTTAGGCTCCCTCATGGGCACGAAATCAGCCAGAGGTGTACCAGCATGGGCAGGGGGGATGCGAGGCGGACGCGCCCCTTGGGCCGCAGTAGGAGTCAGGCGATCGCAAACATGGATCAAGAGGGCGTGGATTAGCGACGGGCCCCGTTTCCTTGGTAAATCGCGGATTTCCGCCGCCGAACGATTCCAGCCGCATTTTGGGGAGGGCACCTCCCCCGATCCATGGATTTGGCGACCGCGCACCAAATCCATGGATCGCTTATGCATGTTTGCGCGCCCCCGATGGGAGGTACGATATTTGCCAGAGGTGTGCCAGCATGGGCCCAGGGAAGTATGAGGCGGACGCGCCCCTGGGGCAGTAGCAGTCAGAGTTTCGTAGCGGGCACAACTCGTGAGAGAGAGGTGTAGCAGCATCAGAGTGGCGATGTTATGTGGGCGCGCCCACTGCGGCCGAAGGTGGAGCTCCTTGCAGGGCGCGATCCGTATCAGCGATATACCGAAATGGGCGGAGAGATTCATGAGGGCGCGACCATTGCCGCGATAGGTGGGACTTCCTGGGGAGAACGGTCCGTGTGAGGGGTGCGCTGACATGCAAGGGGATCGCTATGCGTGAGCGCCCACTGGGGCCATGGCCGTAGTCCGTAGTAGGAGCTCCCTGGGGGACACGATCTATCGAATGGCATTCGGCCGATCCCGCCACCGCGCCTGGGTTGTAGGTATGAAGCCAATCGGGTGTTCATTTGTATCTCGTGGTAGGCCTCTCGAGGGCCTCCGGGAGGCAGTTTTGAAGCCTCTTGGGGACCGTTTCGGGGCCTCTTGGGGCATTGGTTGGGCCTCTTGGGGGCCTCTGGGGGCTTCTTCTGGGACGCTTGGGGGCCTCTTGGAGCTTCTTCGGGGCCTCTTGGGGCCTCCTGCTGGGGGCCTCATCGGGCGGAAGGTTCGAGTTTTCAGTTCGTGGTCCCTCTCTTGGGGCCGTCTCGGGGGCCTCTTGGGGCTGTCTCGGGCGCCTCTTGGGCCGCCTTGGGGCCCTCTTAGGGCGGTCTTGGAGGCCTCTTGGGCCATCAGGGGGCGCGCGTGGGGACATCTTAGGCCGCCTTGGACCGTCGGAAAGCGAAACAGACGAGAACGCTGAAATCCTTCAAAACCAATGGGAAATCAACGATTTGGGGTTCTTGGGCCCCTCCTGGGAAGCCTCTTCGATGCCTCTTGGGGCGTCTTGGCGGCCTCGTTGGCCGTCTTGGGCCCATCTTCGGCGTCTCGGGGCGATCTTTCCGGAAGCCCGCTTGGCCCGTCTTAGGGCCCTCTGAGGTCCGAAACATTCCTGCGACAAGACGCTGGGAACCCCAGGGGGCACGCGGGCAGCCCTGGGAGATTGGAGAGCGAGGGGTCCGGGCCCCTTTGAAGACTACTCCTCAGGAGTGAGGACTGAGGCTTCGAGGATGGGGCCCAGGACATGAGGACGCGCCGATGTGAGGACGTTGCCCAGAGGCACGGTGGCGGATGTGATGGGTGCGCCGAACCTGGCGGATGTACACCATGCTGGCGTGCCCGCTGGGGCCGTGAGTGGAGCGTGGAGTTCCCTGCGGGGCCGCACGATCCGTGCGAGTGGTGTGCCGGCATGGGCGGGGCGGACGCTGTGCGGACGCACCCGCTGGGACTCGCAGGCGGAGCTCCCTATTGAGCACGACGCGCGTGCAACATCAATCGAAGGGTCAAACAACTGCATACACACAAGCTTTCGGCGCTCCGCCCGGACTTTTTGGATCGGCGCTGGGCACCCCAGGCAGCGCCTCGGGAGCCAGGGGGTCAGCGCCGATCCAGAATCCGCGCGGACCTTTGAACTCGTTATGGTTGTGTCATTGTTCGTTCCCCTGGCAACATCAACAGCGTCGGCCGACAGCGGCAGCAGGGACAGAGCAGCAGCAGCATGCAGCAGGCAGCGCAGGGGCTGGAAAGGGGGGGGGAGCGGGAGGAGACGCAGCGCAGCTGATACAGTGGGGGCCCATGCCAAGAAACACCGTGCTTGCGCCTCCAGGGTGCCCTGGGTATCTTGGGCTTCGATGGGTGTTGCGATGCGGAGCGCGACGCTCCCACGCCAGAAATCAATGGACGTCCTGGGGTCTCAGGGCTGGGTTGCTTGTGGAAGGTTTCTTGTGGACTGGCCTCATCTGTAAAGGGGAGGGCCCGTGACACAGGAGGCCGGGACGAATCGACTGGTGTGTGGCCCATCTGCGGCCCAGTCCAGAGCAGAGCACAGCAGTTGTTATTCGTCGAGTCCGGTCCTGTCGCGGCCCATGAAGGGCAAACATCAGCAGCTCGATGCAGCACGTAGCAGCAAGAGCGAAGGCGAAGACGATCAGCTCATCTCATTGCTCACCGCGCCTTCTCTCTATCACACTCAGCTCTCCTGGCATGGAAGGCTCGCTAGGATGTCTTTGTGCGATCGGAGGCACGCCCACGGCGAACCACCGGCGCCCCCTGCGCTAAGCTAGTGGACTACGTGTTCCCCAGCCGTTGTGGTTGGGAAGGAAGCGAGAGAGAGAGAGAGAGAGAGGGCGGAGAGGGGGGAGAAGGAGGGGTGGAAGAGGCCTAGTGGGCCTCTTGGTGCTTCCGGGGGGCTTCCAGGAGCCTCTCGGGAGCCTCCTGGGGCATCTCCGGGGGACTTAGGACGCTTTAGGGCCGTCTTCGAGGTCTCTGGGGCCGTCTTGGGACCCTCTTTGGACCGTCTTAGGTGCGTCTTGGGCCGTCTCGGAGGACTGCCTCTTGGCCAGTCTTTGCGGCTTCTTGGGTACTCTTGGGGCTTTCTTGGGGGCCTCTTGAGATGCCTTGCCACGGTATTCGGGACCTCTTGAGTCGTCTTGGGCCGTCAGAAGCAGTAAACAGCGAGAGCCCTAAAATCCTTCATGTTCGCCGAGCCTTTCTCTCTCTCTCTCTCTCTCTTTCGGAGCAATGTTGTACTTGAGCTGTCTTGGAGGCCATCTTGCACCGTGTATGACCGTTTGGGAGGCCATCTTGGAAGCCATCTTGGGTTGCGGGGAGGCGAAGGGAGGCCAGTCGGGGTCCTTTGTAGCTCGTTCGGATCGTTCCTCCGGGTGGCCGGCGGGTTGCGTGCAACAACAACAACAACAACAACAACAACACCAACAACAACAATAACAACAACAATAACAACAAATAATGAAATGTTCGGATGTCCGCGCGGAGACGATGTCGGGGCTCAAGAAACGGGGGTCCATGCAAACTGGGGTCAGCCAGAGCGCCCGATCTTGCAGGATCTTGCAGGGCCAGGGTCGGATTGCGCCGGGCTTGTTGGCGCAGGATCCTGCAGGATCATACAGGATCCTTCTCATGGACCTGGGCTTGGGCGCAGGATCTTGCAGGATCTTGCGGCATGCCGCAAGGCCTGACTGACCCGGGTCTGGATTGACCCGGGTCAGAAGATTCCCGAACCATGTGGAATTTGTCGGAAGGGCCAACAGTATTCGGATATTTGGCATGCCAAGGGTTAAGTCGGGCCTGTCCCTCCACGGGAGGAACATTCAAGAACAGTCAAACATAGTCGGGGGACGATTGTTGTTCTACTTTTGATGTTTCTCTGATATGTTTGGGGCATGTTTTGATTTGTCGTTCAAAATCCCCCTGACATGCCCGACCTAAGCCGAGCGCCCCGTGTGACAAGCCCGCGGGGGGCGGCGGATCGAGTGGCCCCTTCGGCCCCCCTCCCGCCGCCACCGTGCCTCCTGGGCGGCCCAGGAGCCCTGGCGGCCTCCTTTCGGGCCCTATTCGGAGGCGCTCACGTGAGCCTCCTGGGAGATCTGTTGGTTCGGCGGCGAGCGAGGGGGGGAAATGAGAAGGAGAAGGCCTTCTAAGAAGGCGGCGAGACCTCTCGGAAGCCATCGTACCTTCTGAGAGGTTTTTTTCTCTGTCTTCGGGGAAGGCCAGAACAACTTCTCAGAATTTCTGGGGAACTTCCGAGCTTTCTGAGAAGGTCTTCTCCTTCTCACTTCCCCCCCCCCCGCTCGCCGCTGATTGGTGGTCTCGTGGCGCTGCTTCAGGCCTCTGAGGAGCCTCGTGAAGGCATCTCGGAGGCCTCTAGGGAGGTTGTTTGGGGTATGTTCAAGGTCTTAGGCTATTTGTTTTAGGGGGGCTCCCGGATCCCCTTCGATGTTTGTTGTTGGACTCTTTGTTGTGGCCGTAGTGGAGGCTTGATTGGCCCATCTTGAATGTTCCGGGGGCCGTCTTGATGCGATACTAAGGGGTCTCTCGGGTTGCCGTGGTCGCCCTTAGACTTGAAAAAAGAGGACATGCAAAATCATACAAGATTCACCCGGATGGTTCAGCAATGTTGGCTTGCCCAGTTGGCCCCACAGGGCCTCCAAGAGGGTCAAAGAGACCCCCAAGAAAAGGCCAAGACGCGGCCATGGAACACAGTTGGAGCAGGTTGCAGAAAGGTCCGAATATGTCAGTTTGCGTTGCTACGCCTATACTGATGTGTTGATGCCCGCCGGCGTTAAAATCAGCTGGTTTCCCAGGGACTTTTTACGCTAGAGGTGGCTGTCTTCATTCAGGAGGTCACTGACCAACTCTTTGCAAGGGTTCTGCCCAGCTGGCTCCATGTTAAGTAGCTTGCATGCCCAAGTTGCGCTCGAAAGAAATGCAATCGCATATCTGAAGTGTTTTTGAATCTCGCTAATACATGATACGTGCCATCAACTGCACACATTGATATGTTGCGATGGGCTGTCACTTCGAATGCAAGTGCATTCGACGCACGATGGCAATGATTGTGTACATGCATCTGCACGCTCGCGGGCACATTTAACGAATGGGAGTTCAACGGTGACATCATATCTTAAGAGTGACGAGAATACGTGTTGGCCAAGCGATTGTCACGTGAGCGAGCGGGCAGGGACATGTGGCATTCATTGCCGCAACAAATCATGGGAAGTATTTTCTCAGTGGAGGAAGCCGGCCGAGGCTTTGCGGATGACATCGGAAGAGACACGATCATATCTTTCGTTGAAGCCAGCGCAATCTAGGTGCATCGATATCTGGTGGACCATGAGAAGAGAGCTCTGGGCCGCAAGTGATGTTGAGGCCCCCGAAGGGTCTGGACCCGGTGTCATATGATTTGACCACACTATACGCTCTGCCGGGGGGGGGATATTTTCAAACAGGGGGGGGATGGCCCTGAGAATATCCTGGGGAACCTCGTCTCCCCGCTGCATTCCCAAATGAGCTTTCAAAGAGAGCAACCAAGGACTGGGACTGGCAGTAGCGTCAGCGACAGCAGCATTTGGGCGCTGGCCGAAACATCTGGTGATTGTTTTCTTGTTCATTGTTTTGCCGATCGGCGCGGACCCTCGCACCGCTCCCCCCACCCCGGGGAGTAGATCTTGGCTGTTTTTTGGCGCCTGTTTCGAGCGGGTGGAGTCCCCCCCAGAGGCAGCACTCATGCATACTGCATACAGTCGCACTAAGCAGAGGTCTGGAGCCAGCCCCCCCCTCCCCCCCCCTTTCCGCCCAATGTCGTCGAAACGCCGCATCAGAAACGCCCTCATGTTGATCTCCGCCATGCTGAGGATGCAGTGGTCGGGCCTTGAACGGGAATCCACGGAGTCCGGCCAGAAATCCGGGAGCCCCGAGGGGGGCCCGCCCACCGCCGCCCCCGAACGCCTCCGCCCGACCTGCCCGGACGTCCGGCGGCGCGGTTTCTCGTCGGCGTCGGCTTCCTGGGGCCCGTCCTCCGGGCCTCCAGGGCCGTCGAGGACGGATCTGGGACGAAGAACTGCCCCTGCGGAGGAGGAGGAGGAGGAGGAGGGGGCCCGTTCCGCCCACCGCCGCCCCGCACGCCTCAGGATCTGCCGCCCGACGCGAAGACCTGGCCGGCCAGCTTCATGGAGGACCCGCCCGCCCGGCGGCCCCGTGCTGGCAGGTGCGCGTCCGTCCCCGACATCGGGGGCGGAAAAGAGGGGGGTGATGACTAGGGGGGTGTGGATATCATGGCGTGGGCCATGAGATCTCCCCAGGTTTCACGGCGCCTCTTCTTATTTCGTTACGCCCCTGGCCCCCCCGCTGGGCCGCGCACATGCCGCCGGTCATGACTTGCAACCCCCCTCTTGGACACCATAATTTTTTAGTCATTTCTCTGCCTACGCGTCTGCATGATGCATGGCTTGCTTGCTTGCTCTTGGACACCCCCCTCTTGGCCACGCCCGACGACACGTTCGGGCCCAGTTTCGGGAGCTCCGAGGCTTCGCACGTGGACGTTGGAGCGGTTCGGCTGCCGCGGAGTTGCGGGTGGTCGGGGGATTCGGTCGGGTCGCCGTTGGAAGCCTGGAGCGGGCACGAACGCGTTGGCTTGGAGCTCGAGGAGGGTCGGGTATGGCCGGGACCCCAGGTGAGGGGACCCGGTTAGTGGTAGGGCCCCGGAGCCTCTAAATTGGCCAGAGTCGCTAAACCAGGTCTGCCGTAGCTGGTGTTTTGCGGGTAACGGCAGTTCCGGTTAGTGGAACGGGGCGGGGGGGGGGGCGCCCCCACAGTAGACATCACTAAACCAGGTCCCACTAAACCCAATTGTGGCCGAGAGGGGGCTTTACCCCCCGTGCTTGCTCCCTGGCGTCTCTGGGGGCGTCCCGCTGGAGCCCTCGGGAACGTGCGCAGGGCCGTCCGAACCTCTTCAGGGCCGGTTTTGACGGGGCGGTGGGGGCGTCTTGCCAGGTCGGCCTGCTGCAACTCTGGGCGGCTCATCTTCCGGGGGGCCCCAAACGGGGTGGTGACCATACCGTGTGGTGAGTCTGTGGGGATTCGGGGTCACCGCACGGTTTTGGGACTCGGGTCGTTCTCCGAGGACGTCTCGGGCGACTGGGGCATTCGAGGTCCTAAAACTGTGCGTTGACGGACCGTGCGGTGAGGTCTTGGGGGATTTCGAGGTCACCGCACGGTCTGTCACCGCACCGTTTCGGAGCTCCAAGATCTTCCCTTTCTCCCTCCTCCCAGGGAGGGAGGCAGGCATAGAGGGATGCCAGAGGAGAAGAGGGAGAGGGAGGAGGGAGGGGGAAGAAGAGGAGGACCAGCACGTTGATTGGATGATGACTTCGATATCTCTGCCCGCCTTGCTAGGCGGGGGATGGGCCTTGGCTCGCTGATGACTTTGGCCAGGGGCAGTGGGGGACGCAAAATGATCGGCGAGCCTGCACTTCCCTTGATGTGCCTTCCCTCCAGGGCACGCTGTAGCTGCAGGGCCCTACCACTGTTCGGGCACGCCCTCGGGCAATCCGTGTGAAAGCCTCTGGGGTCAGACTCGTTGAGAGAGTCGCACTTGCGGCGACGCAACATGCTGAGGGGAAGATCCTCGTCCAAGCATCTTAAATTGTAGACAGACATCCTGAGGTCGGGGATCGGCGATCAAGGCAAAGGGGCGCTCGCGCAATCTCCTGGGCACAACTCCCTGCACCTCGTGGCGAGAGCTCTGCCGCTCCCGCACCGAGCTCTGCACGCCGCACGGGTCCGCCCGGCCCCCAACTCGTGCCACTGGTGGACCATCCCGGGCGCCTGGGGGTCTCGGGAGCACGGGGCCTCGGAGGAGGTTCCGTTCCCCAGGAGGGCCCCGCCACCGCCGCCCCCGTGGGCGGATTGATGGATTTCTCGGGCTCCGTTGGTCCTCCAGACCGACCGAGCATTCTCTTTGGGTCGAGGGCAGAGGGCGACATCTGAATTGCCGTTCCGATTGATTCTCGAGGCCTGAATCTGCAAAAGGTGCACCGCAAGACGGACGGAATTTTCGAGGCGCAAAAGCCCATGTGGATTTCACCCTGAGCCCTCCACCCTAAGAAAATGCTCAGACCCAGCCTTCGGGGCCACTGTAGGCCACAGCTGCAGGGCCTCAGAAACAGGCCTCGGATGCTCGCCGGACAGCTTGCTGTCCCCCTCGGCGGTGCTTACCTCTAGCTGGCCTGGCTGGGGACCCCTGGCTGCGGCGATCTCTTTCCGCCATTCTGGCCGCAGCGTCGTTGCCGTTGGCATGACGCTATTGGTCGGAGCCAGAGGTCAGATTATGAGCATGAACGTGGGCCTTGGAGCTGCGGAGCCTGGGACCGAGTGGGGCCGCAGCGGACCCTCCAAGCACCTTGAAGTTTGCATGAACGTCTGATCAGAAAAAACTTGGGCTGCTTGCGGACCGCAATGCCACCTTGGTGCACATCTCAGCCTGGGGGCACGCGTTGCTCCCTGCCGCCAGCACTGCACAGCGCTCTGCGGCTGGGGAGGTCGGCGAAGACAGGCTGACGACCCTCCCAATCCTTTGAGCATCTAGATCTCCAAGCGAATCTATGGCATGGCCACCCCGGCCCATCCAGCCAAGTTATGTACCTGATGCCCCCCTGGTTTGATGCACGAAACGTCAGTATATTCTTCCCCCGCGAAGGCTTGCTGTGGCGACGTGTCGGGGTCCCGACACCAGAGCTCCGCATTTGCGTAGCTGAATTTAGCTGGAGGTCCCGTGCCAACGTCAGGCAACAACTGTAAATTGATGGCTGACATCTGGTCTGTCAAATTGGCTATGCGCTCCAACTCGTATTCGGCGAAAGCATCTCGGAGTGCGGCGGTCTTAGCACATTATCATCGTTTGTGCCTGAAAGTGCCGTGTTGGCGACAGTTTTCACACTCTGGTTCTATGCGAAAGGAAGCGTATTAGCGTCGGTTTGACATTTCTGTCCCATCTCCCACCTTCGATGAGCTTACGGGCAACACTGACTTCAAGCTTATGAGCTAATGAGCTTGTGGGGGTATCCTATTGCAGCGGCGCGTGTTAAGTTCAGCCTGTCCCAGATTTTGTGCATCTTGTGGGCCGAGATGTTAGAAGTGACATTCGTGAAGTGATCGGATACTCTAATCCGCTCTCGTCTTGCATGACCAGAACCGACACAAACTCCCAACCTACCGTCTTGGGGTAGATAAGCAGCCCAAAAAGGGTTTTAATCGGCACACCATTTAGTGGGCAGGGCTGCTAAAATTGGCTCTGCTGGGTTTTTCTGTGCTCGAAATTCGTAGGTCTGAGGCCTGGGTCGTCGCTCGCCATCTGGTGGCGGCCATGTCAAAGCTGGGCCAACTCCTGCTCGCCGAGTGGGGTCTCCAAGTACTGCCGAGCTGAGGCTCTTGCTGCGGGTCGTGCATCTTGGTCCTGCTGCCCGCAGGTGTTCAAATTGCAGCGTGCGCAACCCGCTGGGAAGAGGAGGAGGAGGAGGAGGAGGAGGAGGGGCGGGGAGGCGCGAGGGGAATGAGCAGAGGAGGGATGCTCTCTTGGTCCCCAGGACGCCTTGGTCGGAGCGGTACGGTCCTGGGCGCCCGACCTTCGGGTCGGTCTCTGGCGGAGATCCCGCCTCGCGCGCGGGGCCGTGAGCACGGCGTGGCCCGCGACTTCACCCGTCGTCCGTCCCGCCTCGCTCTCTTCTACTTCCCCTTGCCATCCTCGTCCTCCTGATACTCGTCATCATCCCCGCTCCCATCCTACCCGACCTCCCCCATCCCCCACCCGCCCCCTCTTCCCCCTTCTCCCTCCCCTGCATACCCCCTCACTCACCCTATCCCACCCTTCTCCACCATGCCCCCATCCCCATTCAACCCGGATGACTGGCGGCAGGACCTGGGGACCTTGGCCAGCAAGTTCGCACTAGACTACAACATCACCAGGACAGGCGGTCACGCCTGGTGGCGAGCGCTGCCGCGGGCGGAAGCGAAATCCGGTGTGTTAAAAATATCCTGTGTGTCAAGTATCTTGGTGAAGGACCCAACCATGTACGGTCGTGAGTACAGCGTCGTGGCACCGCTTTCGGTAGACCTCCCTGTGGGGCCACAAAACGTGTGAGTGATGTGCCGAAATGGGCGGGGAACCGCATGCGAGCCCTGTCATTGGGGCCTTCGGAGGAGCTCCCCTTGGGGCCACGGAACGTGTGGGTGATGTGCCGAGATGGGCGGGGAACCGCATGCGAACCCTGCCATTGGGGCCTTCGGTGGAGCTATTTCTGGGGCCACGGAACGTGTGAGGGGTGTGCCGAAATGAGCAAGGAATCGTATGCGAGCCCTGCCATTGAGGCCTTCGGTGGAGCTCATTATGGGGCCAGAGGCAAGGATGGGAGGAGGGAGTAGGAAAGGAGTAAGGAGACGCAGGGCGCTGTCTCTTGAAAACGAGGACCCAACACCACAGGATTGTTGGGAAAATCCGGATGCGGATGGGCGGGAGATCTTCCGGACAATTTCAGGGGAGAGAAGAAAGTAGTATTAAGTATTTGATGAGTAGATGTAGACGAGGCTTAGGAGGTTTGAAGGGGGGTTAGGAGCTCTCGGGCTGCTCTGGCGGGGAGGGGGAGAGAAAGTGCTCGAGTTTGGGAAGGGTGGCAGGGGAGGGGATGAGGGAGGGAGGGGTGGGGATGAAGAAAGGAGGGAGAGAGCCCTAGCGGCCCACGGGGGATACATGCGGCTCGCTTGCAGATTCTGGCACGATCGTCACCGAAATCTGAAACGCTCGAAAGCGAATCGAGGCCCAAGGTTGTGGTTTCTTGATGTTGCCCCTTGTAGCACATGCTGACGTTCCATGGAACATGTTGAAGTCTGATCCAACAACATGCCGAAGTGCGCTCAAACATCAGAAGTTGTGATCAAACCGTTTTGGCATCATGGTGCTCGTTGGTTTCACCTCTGTACAGTGAATTACCGCCGTTTGCAAACTAAACGCCCGCTTGTAGAAGGCTAGAGCGCCCCGTATCACACTTCAGCATACTTCCACCCCGCTCCAGCACGATTTTGATTACACTTCAGCATGGTCACGCTAGCAGCTGCGTGCCCGCGGTGGTGGTGGCCGCGACGCTCGCCCGTGGCTCAAGCCCCAAGTGCGAAGGCCATGGGCTTCGGAGCCCCCCGATGGCGCGATGCCCCGGCTGTTCTTGGCAACCGAGGCCAGTCAGGGGCGGCAGAGAGGTGGGTGATGACTAGGGGGAGGGATATCATGGCGTGGGCCATAATGTCCCCCCAGATATCACTGCGCCTCTTCTTATGTCATTACGTCCTTGGCCCCCCCTTGTCCGAGGCGGGAATTTATACATGACCACCGCATGGAGGATCAACTTTCGGGGATCCCAGCAGGCGGTGGATATGGATAAATTCGGGCCCCCAGGGGCCAAAATATATCCATGTCCACCGCCCGCTGGGGCACCAGGACGTCGGTGCCCAGGCGGTGGATATGGATAAATCCCCGCCTCGCACCTTGGGCCGCGCACATGCCGTCCGCCATGATTTGCGCCCTCCCCTCTTGGACGCCCCCCTCTTGGCCGCCCCTGAGGCCAGGAAGGCCACACGACCGGGCGGCGCCCGGACACCCCGCGCAGCGGGCCGCTGGGCCTGCCGGCTCGTTGCTCACCAGGGGCCTCTCGCGGCCCTCGATGGTTTTGAGCCACCCCCCCCTGGTCAAGCAATGGCAATTCGTCCTGGCTCGCCTGTAGGCCCACCAAAGAATGTTCTCAGAACCTTGTGCGGTCTGCACGACATGTTCTTAGAACATTTCTGGTTGAGACTGTCTTGTTTTCACACATCGGGCTTATGGTCCAAGAACATTGTTTTCGTTATTAGAACATTTTTGGGTTCCAAGAACATGTCGTGGTAGGCCTCTAGGAATGCCGGGACGGTCGGTCCCTGCTCAATCGATGGTTTTGAGCCACCCCCCTCTGGGATGGACAGCGAGCTTGCTGATGAGAATGCCCGTTTCGCGGTCGCACGCGGTCCCCATCATGGTTACGCATCGACGCCGTGACCACTCAGAGCTCTGGAAGCAGCATAATTAACTGATTGGGAACACACAATTTCAACGTTGCGCGCCACTGGTTGGGACCATTGCGGCACTTCTCACCGATTCTCGAGGAGGGCGAGGGAAACAACACAGAGGCAGATTCGATTGATTTCGAATGATTGTTGTTGGTCCAGGGTGGCGGCCGACGTCTCTATGGGGACGAAAGCGCATGTCGACGCAGTCATTATGGATTATGGTTCTCATGGCCCCCGAGCGAGCTTCTGCCAGCGGAACATAGGACCGAAGTGGCAGAGCGGTGGAGGGGCAGTATCGTTATTCGAGGCCGCCCCCCAGGGCACGCGAACACAGACAGGCACCGACACAGACACAGACACACACACACAGACACAGACACAGACGCAGACACAGACGCAAACAGACACACATATATGTATGTATACACATGAATATACATATCCATCTAGATACATACATAGAACAACACACACGCAAACAAACAAACAAACAGACAAACAAACAAACAAACAAACAAATAAACAAACAAACACACGCACTCCCTCACACACACACACACACATCGCGCGGGGATCCTCATTAATTCTGCCAGCTGCGCATTGCCGAGCGCTATCCGTCCGCAGGGGCGATCCACCCCGCGTGGTGTGTGGATAGAGGAGGGTGCTTTCACGGGTGTGGGCATAAGACAGGGCGAACTGGGTGGGACTAGGTCGCCCGCTGAGGCACGAAGATAACCGCGCTGAGCTCACATCCAGGGCGGCGCGAGAGCGCTCGCGCTTCGAGCGGCGAGCACAGGGGACTCTGGGAACCAGAGCGGGCCGGAAGCGCCGCCGCCTCCCCGGCACGACTGGCCAGGCAGTTCCGCCGAAGGCGGGCCGAGCGCCGCCCGAAAGACGCGTCCGCGCCCCGGCGGCTGGTGCCGCGGGCGGGCGTGGGCATGGCTCGGCGTGCTCTGCGGCCACGCGACATGCGCAGGGGCTGCCGACGGGAAGGAGGAGCGGCTGGAGGCCAAGATGATCAAGTCGCTCGCCAACTGCCCCCTCTGCAAGGACAAGGAGCCCTGCCTGCTGGACTGCCGCTTCGGCCAGAAGCGCGGGTGGCGGGAGTGCCTGGAGGAGTGCCTGAACGACAACCCCATGGTGAAGGACATCATGATCAAGATGGCGGACAGGAACTCCGAGGAGGCTGCGGGGGAGCAGGGCGGGGCCACGCCGGCCCCCTCGCCGGCAGGCCGAGCGGAGCCAGGCGGCGGCTCTCTGCGCGCCACGCCGCTGGCTCCGCGGGAGCCCCTGGCGCGCAGCTTGGGAGGCCTGAGCCCTGGAGGTGCCGGGCTGCCGGCAGAGAGCCAACCTCACGGCCTGGAGATGTGAGTGGTTGCTCGCTGAGGCCACGCCAGCGTGGCGCGAAGAGTGGCGGAGCCGCGATCGCGGCCGGGTGATTTGCCAGCGCCAGCGCTCGACGGATTCTCGGGCCGTTGGCTGCGGTGACCCGCTGGAGAGAGACCTGGGCAGCTTTCATGCGGCGCCAACGCCCCTCGAGCTGAGGAAAGCATCGGCGCAGGTGCTGTATGATGGTGGCCCTTGAACGTGTCATGTTTGGCGGTGCGGTCGCACCACCATGTGACACGTGTGGAGCTCCGCAGTTCTCCAGCGAAGTGCCCCGTACTCCACGTCATGGTGCACCCCACGCGTGCAATATCTTGATCTGATGGACTACAGGGAGGCATCTTGCTGAAAACGTCGTTTCGTTGAGATCCTTTCTGTTTCTCTTTCTCGGAGCACACCGCCTCCCTCCGCTATCACCCCTCACACAGAGGGGTTATGTAAGTCAAGAGGTTCAGGAAAACAGTGCTAAACACCATTCGGCAACGACCTGTGGCGCCAATGCAGGGCGAGGCTGGGTTTCGGGCATGGTTGAGTGGCCGTGTGGCTCCCTGCCTGAGCGTTCCATGTCGCATCGGTATCTGAATGTATTGGATCATGAAGGTTACGAATTCGGACTTTTCAGGTGAAGTGGGCGAGGTTGAGAGCGTTGGCAATTGAGGGTGGGGATGGATATGGGGATACCGAGGGAGGTGAGGATCAGAGTTAGGATGAGGAAGATGATGATTGTGAGAGGATGGATGGGGGTGAGAGTGGAGATAGGTGGTTAGAGTGAGGGTGAGTAAGTGAGATTGATGGTGAAGGAAAGGAGGTGGCGTCTGTTTTCTGGTATCACAGGTAAGATCCCAGGGAAAACAAGCACAAGTCAGGACGCGGGGACTTATAGCATCTTCGATGAATTGTCGCATATCTTGTTACCCCACGATAGGCTACAATCCGGCCCTTGCGCGCCATAACGAACTTATTATTACAAGTTAGTCGACATCGTTTTTGGAATGATATTGACGTTGGATGATATTGACGTTGGAAGCAAAGCTGCGTCCCTACACGAGTACAACATAGCTGTTCTTTGTCATCAAAATCGATATCGAACCGCCACCTTGTACGTTCATCGGCTGTACTAGCTCGAAGGATGCAAATGTAAGGGGTCCCCACGGCCGTCGGTCTTGCGAGTTGCGAACTGTGTAGAAACTGTACCCAAAACCACGTAGCCTTATCTTATCTCCACCAACTTCGATGTATCCTACATAGCTTGGGTCAATAAGTGAGCCTGCCCCGATCTCGAGCGCCCACTGAACCACGCCATAAGCCAAACAAAAGGGTGAAGGCACATGACACTGATTTGGAACCGACCCGAACTCTACAATCGCAGTGTTCAGTTCGAAATCATACCCAAACCGTCGCCGAAAACTTCACGAACGTCGAGCCAGTGTTTGTTCTGGTTTGTTGGAGAGTTTCTGAACATCCCCGGATACAGCCCTACAGGGCGCCAGGCGAATGTGTTTCTGCTGGGACTGCGCTGGGCACTCTTGAGGCATAGTTGGGGGTCCTGTTGGCACTCTTGATTCATGGTTGTTGTCTTTTGGCTCCTTCGTGAAGGCCTCTTGAGCCCTCCTGGGCCTGACTGCAGCTCTTCGGTGGGCTCTCTCGATGCCGGTTTTGGGCCTCGTTGGAGCTCCTTCTGTGGGCTCTCTCGATGCCGGCGTGAAAGACCCTCTTGTGAGCCTGCCTGTTGTTGCGCCATGGAGGCTGTCGTGGTATTGTCTGGGGGAGGAAAAATCAGGGCCAACGACAGAGGAGGAGGAGGAGGAGGAGGAGGAGAAGGAAGCCAATGAAGGCCTTCGTGGGACCTTTTTGGGGACCCCCACGGCGAAGTATTGGAGGTTCTGGCCCTCCCCCTCGGAGCTCCCCAGGCCAGATCGTCGGAGGAGGCATTCGTCAAGGAATGTGCCCAGGGGGCCTTCAGACCTGGGGGGGGGGTTCTTACGAAGCCCAGGGCCTCTCCTCCCTCCTCCCTCGTCCCTCCTCCCTCCTCCCTTCCTCCCTTCCTCCCTTCCGCCCTCCCGCCCTCTTCCCTCCTCCCTTCATTACGAAGCCCAGGGCCTCTCCTCCCTCTCCCCCCTCCTCCCTCCTCCCTCTTCTCTCCTCGTTAAGGGATGGGCCCAGGGCGGCGGTGATGTCCGTGGCCAGTTCACGATCGAAGTTCCACTGGCTTCGAGACCCTGGACTCCTCAGCCATGAGTGCCTTCTCCAATGCCCTCACCGCAGTGGTTTTTTGCGGGGATCAGTACCGCGTGGGCTGGGATTGCATTATTCTAAAGCGACTAGGCAGTGCCATTTATGAATCGCAATGCCCCGCGGCGATCTGGTGGCCCCGAGGTGAAATTATCTTTATGATCGCCCAAACATCCCACCCAACCACCCACAACGTGCTGGCAGAACTCCAGTGCGCGGCGACAGCGACCATGGCGATGACGATGGTGGTGGTGGTGAAGGTGATGGTGATGATAATGCCGGTTGCAATGATGACGGTGGCGATGATGATCCAGATGGTGTTGGTGGGAATGATGACGAAGTGCGCGCGCAGACATTTGACGAGGGCGATGAATCGACGACGTTGACGATCATGACGTCGGCGGTGATGGCGTCGCCGACGATGGTGATGATGACGGTGACGATGGCGATTGTAGTGATGACGTTGACGGTGGTAGTAACGATTCCGCCGGGGAGGATGATCAGAAAGTGCGCGCACCCAACCAAGCGACAACCAAAACACGAAATACGTATCATCGGGTTCCTTGTGTGTTCGCATGCATCTGTGCTGTAATGCGTGACACACCCATGGCAAGAATTCGACGTGCGAGCGCAGAAGCGCGCGCGAGTGTTGCCCGCATGGTACGATGCTTGACAGGGTTGGCGGGCGCGCGCTTGCTGCTGCACGTTTGCCGAGATGCGCGCGTGCGGCCCGCGCTGCAGCATTGAACAGAACGGTTGGGAACCGATGTGTCCTTCATGGATTCAGCGATTGCGCGCGCAGGAATCTGACAACTTGTGGTTGAAAGCCACTGGTGCGCGATTGTGATCGAACAGCTATGTCGCGCAGTTGTTAGCAAACCAGTTGTTTAGTAATATGACAATCGCCCGCGGCGGCACGCGCATCTGCCCCGCATCATTTGTGTTGCAAGGGGTTCTTAAAGAAAGCACGTTTGATATCAACGCATCTGCAGCGCATCGTATCATTTGACAGGTGTGAGGCGGGGACCGATTCTGGCAATGGTTGGCATGCTCCTCATTCACATTGAGGATGGACGAACGTCCAGAATAGATATGGAAGAAGCACTACGTGGAGGAGAGAATTGGCCCCCCTTCCTCGATGGGGGGGTAGGGTCGAGTCATTCTTGCTAGGACAAGAAGTCGAGAGACATAGAGAGAAAAGAGAGAGAGAGAGACAGCAGAACCAGGCAGAGAGAGAGGGAGAGAGAGGTGTAGAGAGGGGTAGAGAGAGAGAGCATGACCATCAGAAAAGTTGTACCCGCGAGGATGGGCCTGGAATTGCGTGGCCCGTCTGTTGCCATGGAGCCCGCGAAGGCGGAGATGCAGCAGATGCTCGATTTCTACAAAGGCCACATCGCGTGCCACCACTGCCAGTGCTGTCTTCGCGTTTCTTTACGAGCAATGAGAATTTGCATTCCCCAAGTCACCCCAGCGATAGAAACCATGGAATTGTTTAGATGTGATGATTATATGTTGTTGTAGCTGCACCGGCCGGGTAACCGAGGGGAGGACAGGGAGCGACAAAGATGATAACATTTCGAGACATGCACCCGCACGGGCGTTTGTGATCTTCAAAGTGTGTCGCGGTTGCGATGTCACGAAGGAGTTGTGTTGTTCCATGAGTGCATTGAGGAGGCGAGATGCCTTGGTCCAGGTTACCCGCAGACCGCGAAGATAACTGCCTCGCGCGCACCGCGGTCTGGGTCAGAGAGTCCTTCTTCTCCAGGGGCCTGCGCGAGAGCGCGAAGATGATTAGGTTTCTGGGAGGCCTCCACAGAACCGAAAAGAGCAACATGTACATATGTGTATATATATATATATACATATGATACTCTCTCTCTCTCACCCACGCACACACTAAGAAAAAATCCATCCTTTGAGAAGCTGGAAGGCCTCAAAAGGCCGAGAAAGAGCCAAGAATATCCCTCCTCTTCGGGGCAGCCGAACTTCAGAGCCCCAAGGTGTCAAACTCCCCCCCAGCCTCCGCGACCAGACACGGTCCTGAGCGGGCCAGGCCGTTTAGCGTTTTTTGTGCGCCGCGCCGAAAGAGTCTACGCCTCGGCCGATGATCCTATCCCCATACCGCATGGGGCGTGGACAGAGAAGACTTAGCCTTCTCTGTCCTCGAGGACGAGGAGAGAGGAGGGAGAAAGGAGGAGTGAGGAGGAGGAGGAGGAGGAGGAGGAGGAGGAGGAGGAGGAGGAGGAGAAGGAGGAGGAGGAGGAGGAGACAGAGAAGGAGGAGGAGGAGGAGGAGGTGGAGGAGCACGAGGAGGAGGAGAAGGAGAAGGAGGAGGTAGCAGCAGTTTTGAGCCAGGCACTCGCAGCAACAGTGTGGCGAGCTCGGCGACCGGCTTGTGCTTCGAAGGAAAAAGGGGGGAAGAGAAGAAGGGACCGTTTGGTCTCCCCAGCATGGACGGCACTTGTTGGGGATGGGGCGGCATGGGTTGGCGGGGAGGACAGCCTGCCGTTGGATGAGTATGGGTTCGAAGCAGAAAGGGCGGAGGCCACGATCGCAGGTTGGGCCGTGGTGACGCTTGCAAAGAACGGGCCCCAGATGTTGTTGTGTACAGCTGTCTCCCTGGTCCTGTCCAGGACGTGGGCGGGGCAGAGTTGTATGCCTTGTGCCAGTTGTTGTGCGCCGCGGTCCCCCCCCCCCTATCGCTGCTGAGATGGAATCGGCGTTTGTGTCCGATGGAGTGCCGGTGAGGGAACATTTTGAAGACGACAGCACATGGCGTTGCCTGGTGCCATCATTGGAAGCGTTGTTTGGTTTCTGGGCATGTCGACGAGTGGGCGAAGGCATGGGCGCGGCATCTCCGCGTGCCTGCCTCTGCCCAGAAGCGGCACGAGCAGGAGCTCCAGCTCGGGACGAGTGGGACACGCTGTTGCCACCAAGGGTGCGGGGACCAATCATCAGGACACGGCCGTCGATCGGACCGCGTGGCGTGCGTCTCGGGGACTGGTGTTGGTTGCCCCTACTCGACCCCTGCCCCGCCTTGGTGCGTCTCGTGCAGGCTCGTGGAGCCGAGGGGGACGAGATCTAATCAAGGACCGGGTCGGGCCGCGGGCGCTGGCCGCTGAGCGGGAAGTGCATGCGCTCCCTGAGCTCGTGCCGGCGAGGCCTGACCGTCCCGAGCTCCCCGGACATCATCTGTCGCGTTCGCAGGGGTGCTGCTCAAAGCAGCTGAAGACCCTCAGTTCGGATGTAGGCACTCCACGGGGCCTGGCGCGAAGGCCCTTCAGCGGCTTGCGCAAGGCCTCGTGCCAGGGGTGGCCAGCAGAGTCCTTGCGACCAAGCGGGCCCTCCGTGAGAGTGAGGGGAGGTAGGGCAACCGCGTGGGCCGGACATCGGTGCTTGGTGCCCTGGTGCCTCTAAAGGAAGCAGGCTCGGGCAACCCCACTGCGTGTAGGATGACCTTGAATATGGAAACGAACAATGACATAAACATAAAAACTCGGAGGTCCGCGCGGATTTCTCGGATCGGCGCTGGACCCCCCTCCCTGGCGCACGGAGCGCGCCAGGGGCGGCGCCGGAGGCGCCGCCCCCCAGCGCCGATCCGAGGAATCCGCGCGGATCTCCGAGTTTTTATGTTTATGTCATTGCTCGTTCCCCTAACTGCGTGTAGGATGACCTTGAGGACACCGCTCCCCGGGTACGCGCCAGAGAACGCTGCAGTCCCGGCAGCCCGACGGAGCACGTTCTGGTGAGAAAGAAAACACACGGTGGAAGAAACACACTGTGTGAATCACACACACTGTGGAAGAAACACACTGTGGAAACATCGGTTGAACCATCCGTGTTTTTGCCACAGAAAGCGCCGCAGTCCCGGCAGCCCGATGAAAAGCACGTCCGCGGGGCCGCGCGGAGCGGCGCGTTGGGCGGCGGTGCCGCCCCTGGGCGTCCAGGGGCGGCTGTGCAGTCGCAGCGTCACGGGGAGGGCTTCTTTCGATTCCTCGGATTCGATTTCGATTTCGATTCGATTTCGATTCGATTCGATTGGATTCCTCTGATTCGATTCGATCTCGATGGCTTCCGATTCCGAGTCGATTCGGCTTTGGATTCCGATGTGGACCCCGATTCCTCACTGGAGGCATGCCAGCCTGCCGATTTTTCCGCCGCTTCGACTTCTCCCGGCTCGGCTGCGATTCTGGGCTCTCCTGCATGGGGAGGGAGGGAGGAGGGGGGGGCCGCGGTGAAGCCAGAGAACTCGCAGGCTGGAGGTTCGCAGTTTGTCATCGCCTGGCTGCTGGACGCGTCGAAAGACTTCTAGATTTAAGTCGGGCCTGTCTCTCTACAGGAGGAACCTTCACAAATAGTCAAAAAAATGGTTCGGGGACAATTGTTTGATTAGTTGCGATTCTTTTTAAAGTCTTTGTTTGGCTATTTGTAACGTTCGCGCAAAATCCGCTTGTAGGAGGACGTGCCCGCTCGGCAGCCACGGTCCACGGATCGAGAGCCTTCTCTGCCACGATCCCCCAGGTGGAGCCCGGTGTCCAGCGTCTGGAGCCGCAGAGGGCAGAGGCCGAGCTCTCTCGGCTGCGCGATCGCAGCTTCCGGAGGCCGGCTTCGGGCTGCGGGGCCGCCAGAGCAGCTAGTCTGGCGAAGGACCCAAGCCTCCTACGCAGCCGCGAGCGGTGCAAGGCGTGGCCCTGGCCTCGCAGATGCGCGCCGTGGCGCAGCGTGGGCAGGCGCGCCCGCGGGGGCGGCACGCAGAGGCGCACTGAACTCCCCGTAGAGCTCCCTGTCGGGCCACGAGGCGTGGGAGGTGTGCGTGCGTGCGTGCGCGTGTTGAACTGAGCTTGCCCAGCATGCGGACGTTACCACTGGAGTGTTCGGTGGAGCTCCCTAAGGACCACGAGACGCGCCAGGGCTTGGGCGAAAAGGACTTGCCCGGCATGCGGGCGTTGCCACTGGGGCCTTCGGTGGACCTCCCTGTGGTGCCACGAAACGTGTGAGCGGTGTCATGGGGCGGACTTGCCGAGCATGTGGGCCTTCGGCGAAGCTCCCCATGAGGCCGCGAATCGTGCGAGGAGCGTGCCAGAGTGGCGCTGACCGAAGCGTGTGAGGGGTGTGCCGAAACCAAGCTACCCGGCATTCGGCCACTGCCACTGGGGCCTTCGGTGGAGCTCCCGTTGGGGCCACGGAACGTGTGAGGGGTGTGCCGACATGAAGCGTCCCAGCATGCGGGCGTTGCCATTCGGACCTGCGGTGTAGCTCCCGATGGGGCCACGAAACGTGTGAATGGTGTGCTGACATGAAGCTGCCCAGCATGCTGTCACTGCCATTGGTGCTTTCGGTGGAGCTCCCTTATTGGGCCAACAAACGTGTGAGGGGTGTGCCGAAATCAAGCTTCCCGGCATGCGGGCGTTGCCATTCGGACTTTCGGTGTAGCTCCCGATGGGGCCACGAAACGTGTGAGGGGTGTGCTGACATGAAGCTGCCCAGCATGCTGTCACTGCCATTGATGCTTTCGGTGGAGCTCCCTTATTGGGCCAACAAACGTGTGAGGGGTGTGCCGAAATCAAGCTTCCCGGCATGCGGGCGTCGCCATTCGGACCTTCGGTGTAGCTCCCGATGGGGCCACGAAACGTGTGAGGGGTGTGCTGACATGAAGCTGCCCAGCATGCTGTCACTGCCATTGGTGTTTTCGGTGGAGCTCCCTTATTGGGCCAACAAACGTGTGAGGGGTGTGCCGAAATCAAGCTTCCCGGCATGCGGGCGTTGCCATTCGGACCTTCGGTGTAGCTCCCGATGGGGCCACGAAACGTGTGAGGGGTGTGCTGACATGAAGCTGCCCAGCATGCTGTCACTGCCATTGGTGCTTTCGGTGGAGCTCCCTTATTGGGCCAGCAAACGTGTGAGGGGTGTGCCGAAATCAAGCTTCCCGGCATGCGGGCGTTGCCATTCGGACCTTCGGTGTAGCTCCCGATGGGGCCACGAAACGTGTGAGGGGTGTGCTGACATGAAGCTACCCAGCATGCAGTCGCTGCCACTGGGGCCTTCGGTGGAGCTCCCTTATGGGGCCAACAAACGTGTGAGGGGTGTGCCGAAATCAAGCTTCCCGGCATGCGGGCGTTGCCATTCGGACCTTCGGTGTAGCTCCCGATGGGGCCACGAAACGTGTGAGGGGTGTGCTGACATGAAGCTGCCCAGCATGCTGTCACTGCCATTGGTGCTTTCGGTGGAGCTCCCTTATTGGGCCACGAAACGTGTGAGGGGTGTGCCGAAATCAAGCTTCCCAGCATCGGTCGTTGCCATTCGGACCTTCGGTGGAGCTCCCGATGGGGCCACGAAACGTGTGAGGGGTGTGCTGAAATAGAGCTGTCCAGCATGCGGTCGCTGCCACTGGGGCTTTCTCTTGAGCTCCCTATGGGGTCACGACGCGTGTGAGGGGCATGCCGAAATGGAGCCGCCCAGCATGCGGACACCACCGTTGGGGCCTTGTGCTGAGCTCCCAATGGGGCCACGAAACACGTGAGGGTTGTGCCAAAATGGAGCCGCCCAGCATGCGCGCGTTGGGACTGGGGCCGTCGGTGGAGATCCTCATGCGGCCGCGAATTGTGTGAGGGATGTGCTGAAATAGAGCCGCCCAGCATGCGGGCGTTGCCACTGAGGCCGTTGGTGGAGCTCCCTATGGGGCCGCGAAACGTGTGAGGAGCGGGTCGAATGGACATGTGGAGAGGAGAGGCAACGAGAGAGAGAGAGGGGATGCGGAGAACAGGGGCAAGGAAGGGAGGGGGAGGAGGAGGGGGAGGAGGAGGAGGAGGAGAAGGCGGAGACGCGGGTCGCTGCGGATTGGATCGAGGACCAGACAGCACAGGAGCGTGGGAAAAAAAACACTCCTGATGAAGAGCCCAATCGTATGAAGTTTCGAGTACCGCGAGGTGGACGAGCAAAATGGCAGACTGGCGCACGCATCCTGGCGGGGCGGCGCCGTGCGAACACCGCCGATGGGGGACTTCGGCGAGCTCTCTGCATAGGGGGCACGAAGCGGGTGACGGGTGTGCCGCACCGGGGGGTGGGTATACGCCATGCTGACCCTGGAACTGGGGCCGCCGGTGGAGCTCCCGATTGGGGCACGAAGCATGTGAGGGGCGTGCCGGATTGGGAGCCGGCATGCCATGCGAGCTCTGCTGCTGGGGCGCTCGGTGGAGCTCCCCCTTGGCCGCGCAACGCGTGAGGGGTGTGCCGAAATGAGGCGGCGCCGCCATGCGGCCTCTGGCATTTGGACCTTAGTTTCGGAGGTTGATAGACCTCCTACCCTGACACGTCGATTAAGGAATTGCCGTTTTCGGTTCGCGAGAGGGCGTCGGCCGTCATTTTTGTGGGTCCAGGTCCGTCGGTTTCGGTCCCAGGCCGTTTTCACTAAATGGAGGTTTACTCAAGGGAGGTTTGTCCACCGCCGATAGTTGTGGATCCCTGGAGGGCCCCGCATCGTGCGAGGGGTGTGCCGAAATGAGGCGGCGCCGCCATGCGGCCGTTAACATTGAGGCCTTCGTTGGAGCTTCCTGTGGGGCTACGAACGCGCGATGGGTGTGCCGAAGTGAGGCGGCGCCGCCATGCGAACTTTGGCCTTTGGGCCTTCGTTCGAGTGCCGATGGGGCCGAGCATCGTGTCCCCGGTGTGCCGAAATGAGGCGTCGGGGCCATGCGGACTTTGGCATTTGGGCCCTCGTTGGAGCTCCCCGTGGGGCCACGAAACGTGTGAGGGAAGTGCCGACATGGGCACTCGGAGTGCAGAGGTAGGGATGGGAGGAGGGAGGAGGGGGCAGCGGGAGGCGGGAGTGAGACGTGGGGCGCTGCCTCGTCAAGACGAGGACGTGCCACGACAGGATGGTTGGGAACAAGAAGGGGGGGCGACGGGGGCCCCCGTCCTCGGACGTGCAGTCGCGCCACCCAGAGCGGCCTCTCAGAGAGAGTCGGGAGCTTCCTGGCGCACCCCGTGGGTCACTGACTGCAGGGGGGAGGAGGGGGGCGGGAGGAGGGGCCGGAGGAGTGCAGTGGGGACCCATGCCAGGAAATGCCCTGCTCGCCTCCAGGGTGCCCAGGGTTTCTTGGGTTTCGATGGTCTTGCTGTGGAAAGCGTGGTGCCTCCCACACCAAATATCAGTGGACGTCATGGGGTGTCTCAGGGTTGGGTTTCTTGTGGAAGGTTTCTTGTGGTCGGGGCCCCTACTGTAGGTCATTGACTGCAAGGGGGGGAGAGGGACGGGACGAGGAGGGGCAGGAGGAGCATGAAGGAGGGAAGGGGAGGAGAAGCAGAGGGGGGAGGGGTGGGAGGGGCAGGGGGGGGGGGGGGGGGGCACCGCGGCAGGAGGAGCAGGGGGAGGGGAAGGAGCGAGAGGAGGAGCAGGAGGAGCAGGAGGAGGAGGGGGAGGAGGAGGAACGGGAGGGGGAGGAGGAGGAGGGCAAGGGGCAGGAGGAAGCATCTCTGCGATCCTCTCGGCCCAAGGCGGCTCGGCGGCGGGCCAGAAGGAGCAGAAGAAGGCGGCCTGCCACGTGGACCCAGAGCTGCTCAAGGCGGGGGTGGGCTGCCCCCCCCCCAAAAAAAACTGACGCCTGACGGGCACCCGGCCGCGACGGCGACAGCCTCGTCGTCCTTGCAGGGTGCACGACCACAGACCCCAGGCGGATTGATCATGCCAATCCCAGTTTTCTAGGTTTCGGCATCTGAGGGCCACTTCCGGGCCCTCGGGCCACCAAACGATTCCATATCAGTGGTGAGAGGGTTCGGTCCATGGCGAGGGGGTCAAGAGCTCTGCTGCCCACGGGTTGACAAAAACACACGACTAGGGGGCCACATGCGCACCCCAACCCACCCTCCCCCTCAGAAATCGTGGGGGGTAGGGGTAGGGTTCGCATGTGGCCCACTAGCGACGTCGTATGGCGCTTGCACGCAAGGGTCCAGCGCTGCGCCGCACAGGCGAGTCTCCAGCCCTTCCACTGCCGCAGTTGGCCTTCGCCGCTGCCACCATCCAGCAGATCGAGCACGCGCTGCACCGTGTCCAGCGCGGGCGCCTGCCGCTTCTCTTCCTGCGCCAGCCCCAGCCGGCGGGGCGCGCCCCGCCGCGGCTACCCTGAAGTCGGGCACGTCCCTCTACAGGAGGAATATGCAAAAGTAGTCAAACAATAGTCGGGGGATGAATTTTCTAGCATTTTTCACAATTTATCGATGTGTTGGATCTGTTTTCTTTTGTGTTTCCTCCCAAACCCGTCTGTAGGAGGACATGCCCGACCTGAGGCTACCCGTGCCGACCGGTCCAGGTTGCAGCCTCTCTCCTCCTCGGACGCCCCGCTCCCTCGCAGCCGCCAGCCCAATGCGCCCAGAGCATGCCTCTGCAGCGGCGCGGCTGGAGAAGAGTCGCGAGCCTGTGATCACTTCCACGGGGCCCGCCGCCACGCTCACCGCCAGGAGGGGGAGGGGGATGATGAGGAGGAGGAGGAGGAGGAGGAGGAGGAGGAGGAGGAGGAGGAGAGGAGGAGGAGGAGGAGGAGGAGGAGGAGGAGGAGGAGGAGGAGGAGGAGGCGAGGAGGAGGAGGCGGAGGAGGAGAGGAGGAGGAGGAGGAGGAGGAGGAGGAGGAGGAGGAGGAGGAGGAGGAGGAGGAGGGGAGGAGGAGGAGGAGGAGGAGGAGGGAGGAGGGAGGAGGAGAGGAGGAGGAGGAGGAGGAGGAGGAGGGGAGGAGAAGGAGAGGAGGAGAGGGAGGAGGAGGAGGAGGAGAGGGAGGAGGAGGGAGGAGGGGAGGAGGGGAGGAGGAGGAGGAGGAGAGGAGGAGGGGGGAGGGGGGAGGGAGGAGGAGGGAGGAGGAGGGAGGGAGGAGGAGGGAGAGGAGGAGGAGGGGGAGGAGGAGGAGGAGGGAGGAGGGAGGGGGAGGAGGGGGGAGGGGGAGGAGGAGGGGTCGCTCGGCCCTCTGCGCGGTCAGCACGCCGTGGGCGGGCCCGTGCAGCTCCAGGCGAGGCCCTGCCGCGCCTCTCAAGCGTGCGCCCCGCCCCGCTCTGGCCAGCGCCAGGCAATTCGGGCGCTCGCACGCCCTGTCGGTCTAAAGGCTCGCGCGCGGCCCACGAGCCGCGCTGCCCGCGGCAGCACACCAGAGAAGGCATCCGCCGCGCGCCGGTACGTGCGAGATGCCAACCAGTTGCGCGGCCGCCGCGCGATCGGGCTCCCGACAGGGAAAGTGCAGAGCGGGATATCCATGCCCTCGACGGCGGCGCCGCACTGATGGGGACGCCGGCAGTGCATCTCACTTCGTCGCGGCCGATTCCGTTACCATGTTTCTCTTGCTCAGCATGGCGTGCAGTGCGCCAGCGGCGTCCCAGGGCGAGCTGCTCGCTCAGCGGTCCATTCCATCATACAGATGCCAGCACGTGTGTGTGTGTTGTGTGTTGTGTGGTGTGCGTTATGTGTATGTGTGTGTTTGTATGTTTGTTTGACTTTGTCTTTGCCTTTGCCTTTGTCTTTGTCTTTGTCTTTGTCTTTGTCTTTGTCTTTGTGTGTGTGTTTGTGCTTGTGATTGTGTTTGTGTTTTTGCTTGTGTTTGTGTGTGTGCTTGTGTGTGCGTCGCGCCACCATCGTACCTGCATCTCGGTGGGTCCATTCGTTCAGCAAGACTTGCGCGCGTGATTGGCAGCACCCTTTCGACAGGGCATCATCCGTCGGGCGAGGTGCGCACGCCACTCCAGCGCGCGCCATGGTGGCGCCGAGCTGCAGCTCTGAAGTGCTCAGCTGCGCGCACGTCAAGCACAGGAGGGCCAGGCAAGGCTCGAACATAAAGAACCAGCTCCCACTTCTGGCATAGAGGGCGCGCGGCGCCTCCCTTGCCCAGCTGGGCCACAGGGGCGGGACACCCAGCCCAGTCCAGGCGCTGGAACTTGGAAGGCGCGGACCAAGCGGCGGCCCGGCGGCTCCCTTACAGGCAGCCGGCTACTTCAGGCGGGCCACGTTGCCGACGCAATCCGGCTGTCCAAATGTCTCCACGAATTCGCATTTTGACGGGAGCCCGTTCGCCTCCCAGACTTCAGAAGTGGCTCGTCTGCCCAGTGGCGGGCGTGGCCGTGATCCCCCAGCTGGGCACCCTCGCGGGGAGGCGCGGGCAGGGGCTCAGCTGCGACAAGCGTGGCATGCGCCGCGGCCTTCGCCTTCATGATGGCCCCGGGGACGCGACGCCTTCGAGCCTGTTGACGAGCTCGGCTGCGCCGCCGCCTGAGCCTCCTCCGCCGGCCGCCTCGTCTGTTGTTGCCTTCGCGCTTGCTCCAGGTGGCGCCGCGTGGTGTCGAGCACCTCCTCCGCCTGAGCGCGCGTTTGGTGGTCCGCGGGCGGCTTCCCCGCAGAGCGCGGCTCCACAGCTTGCAATTGAGCCTCAGCGCGCCGCGCCACGGTGCAGCCGGCGGGAGGCCTCAGTCTGGGCTCCCCAGGGTGGCGGCGGCGCCGCCTCCTGCGGAGGCCAGGAGGGGCAAGTCGCCACGGCGTGTGCTGCTCCGCACCGCCCGCTGCTGCCTTGCTGGCTGTCGAAGCCTGTGATGGCTCGACCGCAGCGCTTCTCGGTGGGTGCTGCGACACCGTGCTCGCGCTGCCCCATCCACTGCCGAGCAGGCTGCTCAGAGGCTCCACCGCGATCTCCAGGTTGGCCTGGCGCCCGCCCCAGCCGCGCCGCTGCACCATCTGCCATGTTATGGTCAAGCGGAAGACCCCAAGAAATGCCACACTGGTGTGTGTGTGTTGTGTTGTGTTGGGTTGTGTTGTGTTGTGCTGTGCTGTGCTGTGTTGTGGTGTGGTGTGATGTGGCGTGGTGTGGTGTGTTGTGGTTTGGTGTCTGTGTGTGCGTGTGTTTGTGTGCGTGTGCGTGTGCGTGTGTGCGTGTGTGCGCGTGCGTGTGCGCGTGCGCGTGCGCGTGTGCGTGTGCGCGTGTGCGTGTGTGCGTGTGTGCGTGTGTGCGTGTGTGCGTGTGTGCGTGTGTGCGTGTGTGTCTGCGTGTCTGCGTGTCTGCGTGTCTGCGTGTGAGCGTGTGTGCGTGTGTGCGTGTGTGCGGGTGTGCGGGTGTGCGGGTGTGCGTGTGTGCGTGTTTGCGTGCGTGCGTGCGTGCGTGCGTGCGTGCGTCAGGCGCGTGTGCGTGTGCGTGTGCGTGTGTGCGCGTGTGTGCGCGTGTGTGCGCGTGTGTGCGTGTGTGCGCGTGTGTGCGCGTGAGCGTGTGTGCGTGTGTGCGCGTGTGTAAAGTTGTGCGTAGCCCGCCTAGCTTTTAGCGGCAGAGGTTCGCTCTCGCACCGCAGATCAAAAAGTGAGTGCGCGTGTGTGCGCGTGTGTGCGTGTGTGCGCGTGTGTGCGCGTGTGCTCGTGTGCGTGTGTGCCCGTGTGTGCGCGTGTGTGCGTGTGTGTGTGCGTGTGTGCGTGTGTGCGCGTGTGTGTGTGTGCGTGCGCGTGCGCGTGCGCGTGCGCGTGCGCGTGCGCGCGTGCGCGCGTGCGCGCGTGTGCGCGTGTGTGCGTGTGTGCGCGTGTGCGCGTGTGCGCGTCTGCGCGTGTGCGCGTGTGCGCGTGTGCGCGTGTGCGCATGTGCGCGTGCGCGCGCGTTCGCAAGCGCGCGAGCGCGCGTGTGCGCGTGTGCGCGTGTGCGCGCGTGCGCGTGTGCGCGTGCGCGTGCGCGTGCGCGTGCGTGCGTGCGCGTGCGCGTGCGTGCGCTTGCGTGCCTGCGCGTACGCGTGCGCGTGCGCGTGCGCGTGCGCGTGCCGTGTGCGCGTGTGCGCGTGTGCGCGTGTGCATGTGCGCGTGTGTGCGAGTGTGCGCGCGTGCGTTCGTGCGCGTGTGCGCGTGCGCGTGCGCGTGCGCGTGTGCGCTTGCGCGTGCGCGTGCGCGTTCGCGTGCGCGTGCGCGTGCGCGTGCGCGTGCGCGTGCGCGTGCGCGTGCGCGTGCGTGCGTGCGCGTGCGGGTGCGGGTGCGGGTGCGGGTGCGTGTGCGTGTGCGGGTGCGGGTGCGGGTGCGGGTGTTGGTGCGTGCGTGGGTGCGTGCGTATGTGCGGGCGGGCGGGCGGGCGGGCGGGCGTGTGCGTGTACGTGTGCGTGTGCATGTGCGTGTCCGTGTGCGTGTGCGTGTGCGTGTGCCTGTGCCTGTGCCTGTGCCTGTGCCTGTGTGTGTGTGTTTGTGTTTGTCTTTGTGTGTGTGGGCGGGGAGTTGGCGTGAGGCACGGGCGACACCTGATCCCAACCAGCGTTTGATCTCTCCTCTTCCTCCTCGTCATCCTCCTCCTCCTTCTCCTCTTCCTTGAGCGCTCCTCTTCATCTCCCTTCCGTTTCCTTGTTCATTTCCCCATCTCTTCCTCTTTCTTCTCTTGCCTATCATCTGCCTCCTCCTCCTCCTCCTCCTCCTCCTCATCATCATCATCATCATCATAATCATCATCATCATCATCATCATCATCATCATCATCATCATCATCATCATCATCATCATCATCATCATCCTGGTGTCCGAGCCCTGCGACGCTGGCTCTTAGCGGTTTCATCTCTCCCCGCTTCTTCCTCAGCCGCCCTGCGTTTCTTAGAAATGGAGCCGTACGATACCTGCCCTGACCTGTTTGCCACCCTTTTCGACCGCTGTTGCACGCGCTGTTCGCGGCAGCCCCCCATGCGTGAGAGATCACCGCAGCGCCCCCCTCCCCCCCTCACCCCCGAAAGAAACGGCGGAGGACGAAGACGGGCAAGCAGGACCAGCGCGACAAGGGGTGAAGAGGACGAGGGGCCACATGTGAATCCTACCCCCAACCCCACCCCCGATTTCTGAGAGGGGGTGGAGGTTCATCTCGTTGGGGAGGTCCCGAGCGGTGTGACCCCCCCCCCCCTTCGACATCGTGGGGGTGAGGGTAGGGTTCGCATGTGGCCACTTGGAGGACGATGGGATCAGCTCCCGTCCGAGAGCGCCGGGCTGAGAGGGAGGGAGGGAGACGCGACACCACCACCACCACCACCACCAGGGGGGCCACCAGGAGGAGGAGGAGGAGGAGGAGGAGACCGAGGAGGAGGAGGAGGAGGAGGAGGAGGAGGAGGAGTAGGAGGAGGAGGAGGAGGAGGAGGGCGGGACGGAGGCCGCGGAGGAGGGCCGGGCCGGCGCCCGCGGAGGGCGGGGCGGCTTCGGTCTGCCTCGGCCCGCCGTGCCTCGTGGGGCGGCCTCCGCCCTCCGCCGCCGCAGGCTCCGGTCGCGCCGATGCGACCGGCAGGTCTGCCCTCGCCAAGAGTATTCCTCCCAACGCGCGGGCCCTGGAGACTCGGTGGAGCAATAATGCGGATGATCATGCAAGCAATAATCATACTAAGGAGCAACCATGAGGATAGTAAGAATACGCATACAAATAAAACTACAATAATAATTCTACTACTAATATCGCCGATCTAAGAATAAGGCTCCGGTCGCGCCGATGCGACCGGCAGGTCTGCCCTCGCCAATATCGGGGGCGGAAAAGAGGGGGGTGATGACTAGGGGGGGGTGGATATCATGGCGGGGGCCATGATATCTCCCCAGATTTCGTGGCGCCTCTTCTTATTCCATTACGTCCCTAGCCCCCCCGCTGGGCCGCGCACATGCCGCCGGTCATGATTTGCACCCCCCCCCCCTCTTGGACACCCCCCTCTTGGCCGCTCCCGACAATACAGTCGGGGCCCTGAAGAAGGAACCCTTTTGGTTGGGGAGGGGCTCCACGTTCCTTAAAGTGTTTCGCAGCTCGCCTCAGGTTTTCCTTATGTTTTCGATGGGAAATCGGAGTTCAGCTTATGGGAAAAAGGGGCCTCGTTCCTTATTTAGGGTTCCTTAGGTCAACGCCCCGACTGTAGTATTCCTCCCAACGCGCGGGCCCTGGAGACACGGTGAAGCGCGGGTCGGCCTCCCAGCGTCTGACCCGACATCCCGCGGATCCACTCGCGCCACCCGCAGCGTCGCCCCCCCCTTCCCCCCCCGGCCCGGCCTGCGGTGCGTCTGGACATGTTTCTCCTCCAAGGCGAAGCGGGCCGTGGAGACGAGCAGCTCCCTCGAAGGCCGGGCAAGAGAGGAGGAGGAGGAGGAGGAGGAGGAGGAGGAGGAGGAAAGGAGGAGGAGGAGGAGGAGGAGGAGGAGGAGGAGGAGGAAAGGAGGAGGAGGAGGAGGAGGACGGTCCTTTCTCTTCGACGTGTTTCGGGTTGACTCCAGATCCAGCGACCAGGGGGTGGTGCAACAGATCTGGTGCAATAGGTTTGTGGGGTTGAAATACATTCGGGGCATGCAATAATTACATTTCGGAGCGTAAATGTATTGCTGGATTTACGCGTGCAAAACATTATTGACAATACAATGCAATACAATTCCCCGGCGCAATGCATGTGCAATACACGTGCCCCAAATCTATTGCACCCCCCCCTTTCAGCTGGACCCCCTTTTGAGTCACCCAAAGTGTTACCGGCATCCCCATGGCGTCGGATGAGCAGTCAGATGAGAGGATCGCGGGGACCGAAACGGGTACAGAGACAATGGGCACTAAGCCCATCAGCAGTTGCTGTTCATTCTGAACAGGATTCGCTGTCGGCGTCGCGGCGGTTGTTGGTCGTTTGAGACAGGGCGGGCTGCCCAACAGCGGCCGCCGTCGCTTTGGGGCAACACGTGCTGTTGGGGATCGTACCCGTTTCTTCCGTACCCATGTCGGGCGTTCAAAGGAGGAGAGGGAGGAGGTGCGCGCCGCGGGGTGTGGGCCAGATCGCCATGCGCCGGATGCACGAGCGCCACAAGCGCGAGGCCGAGGAGTACGCTGCGTGGCAGGCCGCGTGCGCGCAGCTGCAGTACAACCAGTTCGTGGTCCAGCAGCAGGCGTCTGCCCCTCGTCGTCCTCGTCTTCCTGTGGCGGCGCGCAGGGGGGGGGGGGCAGGGGTAGGGGGGAAGGGTTCCTAGGAGGAGGCTGCTTCTTAGAAGGCGCGGGCCTTACAGCTGCAGACGAGGAGCGCGCCCTCTGAGGAGCAGGGGGTGCTTCTGAGAAGCCTCCCCCCCGCCCCCTACCCCCCTCCGCGCGCCGCCGATTCCTTCTCTTCCTTCTCCCAGGCCTTCGGAGTGCCGAGGGGCGCGGCTTGGGAAACGGGAGGGGCCTGGTGACGCGCTTCGAGCGGAGGATTGCAAAAAAACCCTTCGGTTTTTTTTGCAATCCTTCGGGTTTTTGTTGCACTCCTTCGGGTTTGTTTGCAATCCTTCGGGTTTTTTGCAATCCTTCGTGCGAGGCGTCGGCCTCCTTTGTCGTCGTCGGGCCGGGGGCGTGCGCCGGACCGCTCGGGTCAGAGATCCTGCCGCCTCTCGAGCTTCGGATCTCGGGTTGGAGGGTGGCCGCGGATGACAGACCAGGGCTGGACACTCCTCCTCCTCCCCCTCCTCCCTCCTCCTCCTCCTCCTCCTCCTCCTCCTCCTCCTCCTCCTCCTCCTCCTCCTCCTCCTCCTCCTCCTCCCCCTCCTCCCCCTCCCTCTCCCCCTCCCCCTCCCATCCTCCTCCTCCTCCACCGCTGGACGTCGGCTGTGTTCTTGTTGTTCGCTCCAGCCATCCTGTGGCGTTGGGTCCTCGCTTTGACGAGGCGGCCGCCGCGTTCCTCCTTCCTTCCTCCCTCCTCCCCCTCCCCCCTCCTCCCTCCCTGCGTTTCACCCACCCAGTACACCGCTTCGTGGCCCCATGGAGAGCTCCACCGAAGCCCCCAGTGGGACCGCCCGCATGCGCCCCACACACCCAATTTCACATTTTCACTCACCCAGTACAGCGTTTCGTGGCCCCATAGGGAGCTCCATCGCAGCCCCCAGTGGGACCGCCCGCATGCGTCCCACACATTCAATTTGGCATGTTCACATACCCAGTACAGCGCTTCGTGGCCCCATAAGGAGCTAGCTCCATTCAAGCCCCCAGTGGGGCCGCCCGCATGCGCCCCGGAAGCCCAATTTGGCATTTTCGCCAACCCAGTACAACGTTTCGTGGCCCCATAAGGAGCCCCACCAAAGCCCCCAGTGGGACCGCCCGCTTGTGCCCCAGAAGCGCAATGTGGCATTTTCATCAACCGAGTACAGCGTTTCGTGGCCCCATAGGGAGCTCCACCGAAGCCCCCACTGGGACCGCCCGCATGCGCCCCACACCCCCAGTTTCACATTTTCACCCATCCACTACAGCGCTTTGTGGCCCCATAGGGAGCTCCACCGAAGGCCCCTTTGCTACCGCCCGCATGCGTCCCCCCCACCCAGTAAAGCTCTTCGTGGCCCCAAAGGGAGCTCCACCGACGGCCCAAGTGCTACCGCCCGCATACGTTCCCCCCCACCCAGTGCAGCGCTTCTCACAATTGCGGTACCCACAACTGCATGTGGTTGAGTCTTTCGCCAGGGTTATTTTGGCAGCGAAGAAGCCCTTTTCGGTCGGAAGGGCGAGAGGGGAGGGATGGTGCGAGATAGAAATCTCCGCAGTATGCAGTCGAGGTGCATCTGATCATGTTGGAGTTCAGTTCTTCCAACCCCAAATGTGGCCTCGACGGAGGTTCAGCGCGCCTTGCGACACAGAGCATGTAGATTCGATCATACGGCTGCGGGCTGAAAGGGCGGGAGAGAAAAGGACGGGGATGGGGATGGCAGGGGGAGAATTTGCAGATGATGCCTTACTGAGTGGAGCGGCAAACGGAGGACGCCTAGAGTTCCCTCGCGTGCGGAACGCGGCAATCGTGGACGACTCGGCACCTTGAGAGGGATGCCGGTGCATCAGGCCTCGGAGCACTTGCACGCCACCCGGGCGTCCCCCTCCGCGAGCGCCAAGCGTCTGGCGTCGACGTCCGAGCAGCGCCCGCAGTTGTTCATGGGGGGGAGTTGTCCGCGAGCATCAGTCTACAAGCCCAGAGCGCGGTTTCGACAGCCGAGCGTATCTCTTCGGAGCTTGGTCTGTATGTACTGGTTGTTGTTGGGGCAGGTGCTGCGATTATGTGTGAGGGCGGGTATTGACAAGTGGTGAGGCGCGCCATGGCGGAAGCACTGCAGGAGAAAAATTCCCAGCCCGTCAAACCGCGGAGTCCAGACCCGATCGCCGAGAGAAGAACACCCAAAGCCGACGCCCGTCGATGGCATCCCAGGCCTCAGGCGTCGTGTGTCCTCCACACGTCTGGGCCCCGCAGCTCTCGACCCAGACACTCGTATGGATCTCGCGGCGTCGCATTCAGGCGGGCGTGTCCCTCTTCAGGAGGAATATTCAACAGAAATAGTCAAACCGTAGTCTGGGGACGATTTTCGGACTATCTTTGACCACTTTGAACACTTGTTGACTATTGTATAAATGTGTTGTCCAAAATCCGCCTGCAGGAGGACGTGCCCGACCTAACCGTAGCGCGTTTTTTTCCGTAGGCCCCCGGGGACCCGAAAACGGGCCGCAGGAAGCCCAGAGTGAGGATACAGTGAGCGGCTTGAACAAGGAACACTTACTTCTCAAAAGGGGCTCGGTCGTTCCTCAGGCTTGCATGCGTTACTCATCGCTCCGTATGCGTTATTTATTATGGATCGTTTCTTATGCGCTATTCCTTGGAACAAAAAAGGCTTCGTTCCTTATGTATCGTTCCTTAGGTCAGGCCGATGACTGTATGCGGAGGACTTGCCCCCGGCACGCGGGGGACTTGCACGCCGTGCTTGCCCCTCGAAGGCCGTCGGTGCCCAACCAGCTGACGGTGCCGGCTTTCGCACCTCCTCCTCCTCCTCCTCCCCTTCCCCCTCCTCCCACTCCTCCTCCTCCTCCTCCCTCCTCCTCCCCCTCCTCCTCCCCCTCCTCCCTCCTCCTTCTCCTCCTCCCTCCTCTATTCCTTTTCCTTATGAATAACTTCTCCCTGTCGCACCCCGAGGCAAGTTTATAGGGCGGGCCGGGCGTTTCGCCTGAGACTTCCTCACCACTCATGACTCTGAAGCATAAAGATTGGCAACAATTTCACAGATGGAGGGCGGGCCGTTTACATAATGTGGCTCTCGCCTTAGCGCCGCGCACGTTCGTTTTAAACATGTGCAAGAGTTTCACGGATTGTGGGCGGGTGGTTTTCAAAATGCGGTTCTCGCTCTAGTTCCGCGCACATTCCTCTTCAAAAATTTCAAAAGCGTCACGGATTCAGGGCGGTTCCTTTTCAACATGTGGCTCTCGCTGTAGCGCCGTGCACATCCGTTTTCAAAAAAAACAAGAGCGTCACGGATCCTTTTCAACATGTGGCTCTCGCTGTAGCGCCGCGCACATTCTTTGCACAAAATTGCAAGGTTTTCACGGGTTCCCATGATCGACGTACCAGAAATTGCGTTCTGGAAGGATTCACGACTATGAGGGCGCAATAGTTACGATGATTCGCGGTGTCGAGGTCCCAGGAAGGGCGTTTTGTCACGGCTCAGGGTCGTTAAGACGCATCAGTCAGGTTGATCCGTGAAGTTGGAATCCCGAGAACAATGTTTTGGAATGCTTCAGGATCTTCAAACGGTTACCTTCCAACAACCAGGTCCCTCTGTGGAAATGAACCGTTGTAGGGGCCTACGAAGAGGGAGCTTAGGGGGAGGGTTTATTCCAACATCGTTCGTGGCTCTTGGGTCCACACTGGTCCTCCTCCTCCTCCTCCTCCCCCTCCTCCTCCTCCTCCTCCTCCTCCTCCCCCTCCTCCTCCTCCTCCTCCTCCTCCTCCTCCTCCTCCTCCTCGCCTGGAACTACAAGACCAACCAGACGTGCTACTGGTGCAGCAAAGCCTTGGCGCCGTGGACAGATTCCCCGCCTCCAGTTCAAGGTGCCTGGGCGGCCCCCGCCAAGGCCGCAGCCCAGACCGACTCCAGCTCCACCCAGCAGCCCAGCCCTGACGGTGGATGGGAACCGTGGACGTCATGGCCCAAGTCCCGCCGCCGCCGCGGCAACGGCAATGGCAGTGGCAAGAACCAAGAGGACGACTGGTGGGCCAACAAGAACGACACACCCAAGGCGCGCTCCGCAGAGGATATCCTTGCGGAGCTCCAGGCGATCGCCCCCCACATCGACAAGGCAGCCATCGACGGTATCAAGTCGCAGATTCCGCCGCCCCAGCCGCAGAAGCCAGCCGACCTCAACGACATCTACAGCCGCGCCCAGGCTACGGAGCGCCGCTGCAAGAACAACCTGGAGAGGCTACTCGAGAGCGAGCAAAAGGCGCTCAGCTGGTACACTGAGCGCAAGGCGGCGTCGGAGGAGGCCGCCTACAAGTTGGCAGAAGCCCAGGCCGAGGCCCAAGCCGCTCTCGATGCACTCCAAGTCGCTCGCAAGGGCGGCACGGCTACTCCCAAGGCCTCGCAGCAGAACCCAACGTTCAACCTCACCAGCCTCCTCGAGGACGGTGACATATCCATCGAAGCGGGTTCGGCGTTCGATCTCCAAGGCCTTGACATCGACGACAGCGACCGCCAGGCATGGGAATCCCTCCAGCAGCGCTTCGCCACGGAGCTCAAGGCCAAGGTCACCGAGCTCTTCGGCAACACCGCCAGCCGCATCAGCCAGCTCCGCGCAGAGGCCAGCACCATGCGCACGCGCTTCGCCTCCAAGCGGCAGCGGTCCGACGAGGACGGTCACGCCCGAGAGGGAGGTGGACCACCGCCCGCCGCCTCGGCGGCAGCAGGCGAACCCCCAGCGGCAGCCGCAGCGGACGCTGATGGCTCTGCGGCCTCTTCGCCAGCGGCGCCAAGCGATGAGCCTCCCGCACCTGCTGCTGGCGCTACTTCTGACGGCAGCTCCGCCGCACAGCCTGTACCAGCGATCAACAAGGACCCCGACCTCGAGGACAAGGCACATAAGATGCTCAGCCAGATGCGCAAGCCCACCGCGACCG